AGGAGACAGGAAAATTTTAAAGGGTTGACGGGTTGTAAGAAAATTTGACTTTAAAAGCAAACAGAATTGCTATGATACAGACAATAAAGAGCTATTTGTCATGCTAGATGATGCACAAAGTGGCTTTCGTGTCTTTAGGACGATGATAACTCGCTTGACTTCATCTCAAATATACGTATTAGTATATTTTGATAATTAAAATTTATGACTTTCTTCAATTTGAATTACTTACTCGTATTTGCCATTCCCCCGCTTGTAAACTTAAATTGTAAATGAGCTTACTTTTTCTATCATAGAATATGTTGATTTTACAGCAACGTAATCGACTTATAAAACCGTATTCTATTTGAGCACTCCTTCAAACATTTTGACGAGTAAATGCGATTTTTGTACAATACGGCGACTCATTCAAATAATTTTAATAATTTCCCACTTTCGTATGACTTGGGAGCCAAAATATTCCGTGATAGAAATAGTAAACTTTTAATAGCTTAAGCTCCCGTAAGAAAGATGATGCTGAATACGAGTAATATATCTAGGTACTTTAAATTAACAAAAAATTTCGAAGTCTCGAAATATTTGAATATACCTATGCACTATTAGGTTAAAACCAGGTAAGAATCATTTTTCCGGGCGTTCAAAAGGCATTATATATTAAACCACAGAGGTAAAAGCCTATCGATTATCCTCTACATCTTCGGTATTTGTTGTATGTTAATAAATTGATTCTTAAAAATGTTATATGGACTAATTTACTGTCTTAAGAATCTGTAAAAAAGCATAACGGTATCTGGCCTTTGATACAGTAATCATGATTCAACTGGGCTTGTGTGTGATCGTAAAAGTGCGCTTTGATTAATTACCGAAGTAGTGAATATAGTGGGATCGCCTTGTCATTTACATCATTGTAGTATAGTACCGGTACATAATTTTTAACCTAGTAGTTACAGAGTAATTTACAGAGCTAAACTGTACCAGATCAATAGTCTATGGCTATTAAATATTTATACACGTAGTTACTAAACAGCTTCTGACAACGCCTGCGTTTATTTTCCATAATTACATTTATAGATTATAAATTGCAATTAAAGCGGAAGTGCTACCGTCATAGTCGTCCGTAACATAAGCATATACCGTATAATTTGGTTAATTCAATTATTTTTGTTCATGTTTTTCAGCAATAAGTATTATTACAAAAATGGAGACGTGCGTATTGATATACAATATAGTACTAAGGTGCTAAATACTCCTGATCAATATGTTCTACTTGTATTTTTATACTCTACTGTCTGTAGATCATTGTGATCACTTACGCTGAGTTATGCGCAACATCAGTTGTTAGATGTTAGATCTGAACGTATACTGATATCTGTTAAGATAGAATACAATATGCATAAGTACTTTATGTCTCCCATTTAAAATTAAACTTAAAGCCTGCGGCGACGTTATAATTCATTATAGTCATTACATTGTTAGTCTATGAAAAGAAGAATATCCCTATGCAAATAATCATATTTTATTCTTTAATAGGCAAACATCATATCCCTACTAAAAGCACTATATGTCTGTAGTCGTATTGTGTCCGTATATTTATAATCACTCTGAATGATGTAGGCAATTGACGTACTGTAAATGTAGTTTAATTTCATCAATGAACTTGATCAGGAACGAAATTTTAACACAACAGCAACAATCAAGTACTGACTTAGATGAAATTTAAGACTGTACTGTACATTGTACAGTGTATAGTATAAGCCTACATAAGACCATATTAGCTTATCATAAGAATGAAAAATAAAATTGTATGCTGTTTCCTTACAAACTAATCATTACTTACAATAAAATACGGCAATACAACTGTAGTAATAAGACGATAATCTATTTTAGAAATTGATATACGTTTTAGACTGTCTTTCATGCTAGGATTAGGGTCAACAAATTTTTCAACGCTGTTATGGATTACACTGTAATATACGTTGCTCGGGAGATGTAGTGTACTGTATTTAATGTATTGCTATGGCTAATTATAACAATTATTAATCTAGGCTGTCAGTTGACTCCTCCTTTTAAATATGTTTTTATAGTAATATCGAAGAATAGAAAATAATTTATATATAGATGTGATGCATAACAATACTTTTAGCTAGAAAATGGAGAGATTCACCATAATTTAAAACCCTCCTTCTACTGTCGTGTCTACTTATGCGTATACGTTATTGACGTGCATTGTAGTCGTTAATAAACAAAAGAAAGTGTACTGGGCTTCCGCTGGTGCGTTTATTCTATGCACTTTTATGTCAAATAGCATTTTATACTTCTGTCTTAGACTATTTTCTCACTAACACCTGTAGATAACAAATCAATGAATTTTACGTCCTAAAAGTTGGTGTTACGAAGCAGTTGACTTTCCAAAGAATAGTATTAAGAAAAATCATTAAATCTTAACCCTGTATTTTTTAGTTCTTCTTTTTTACCAAATGGATGATAATTAACTTACACATATTGTAGTCTAAGAAATAATTTGATTTCATTAGGCCGCCCTTATTAAATTATTTAAACATCTTCGCATAAAATCATCCTAGTTTTCTGTTTAGTCAATTCTTTGATTTATTTGGTTATTAGTACTTTACTATTTAACCGAAGAAACCAAACTTAACTTCACTATGGTATCCCAAACTAAGTATCACCAGTTACCTAAGGAAGATGAAAGCAAAGAGAACGAAGGAGAAATGGGCGAACAGAAGCAAGGTCAAGTGACTATTAACTATTTTTGTGGTCGTCGTCAAGTACCACGGAAAGACTTCTACTTGATCATGGTTACTTTAATCGTCGTCTCAATGATTCTACTTGCGCTGTTTATTACCGCCGCTGCTCGACATCATAAATCTCAAACGTCATCGCAAAAGCACGGACATTCAAGAGTCACTCCATCACCGACTTTGCCTTTTCCCTATAAAAGTTTTCGATTACCGGCGTACATTCGTCCAAACCATTATTTAATTGACTTGCGCCCGAACTATGATCAGCTAACAACTGCTGGTAACGTTTCAATCAACGTTACCAGTAGTAAAAAATCGAATTTTATTATTTTACACAAGAAACATGTCAACATTCTTGACGTTAAAGTCTCAGAATTAAATAGCAAGAAAGATATCAAAGTCATAAAAACTGATGAATATCACAAATATAATTTCTACTACATCAAGTTAGAACACTACTTACAACCTAATAAAGGCTATCTTATTCACGTAAGATTTACAAGTCAAATAAAGACTAAAGTACTTCATGGATTGTATCGCAGTCATTACCGAGCAGCAAGCGGAATGACCAGGTTATATATCTCTTATTAAATTATATTTTTTAATTGACGTATGTTATTGAAGTATGTTAATACTAAATGACTAAGATTGGAGTATAGCGTTTTATTAATTTGATTGAACTTCAGTTTCTTCAGTGCAAATAGTGTAGCGAAAAATATAGCTCTATTATAGCATTACTGTTAATATGCGATTTATGTTAACTATTTTGCTCCTGCTAGCAGAAAATAACAATTAAAGTTTCAAATTGTTATATTCTACAATAAATTACTGTACCGTAGACCGTAGATAAATATAATCATTCCAATGTAAAGAATACTGATTTCATCTTTTAAGTTCGGGTAAATTTCCTATCTCCCACGACTACTTCAAGTTCAAACTACCGATCATTTGTTTATTAATTTTACAGTATAATGACCACACTCGTTTCGGCAGTGATAATTGTTTGATTATTCTCAAGCTATGATTAAATTCTGTACCGTCCATACTCCCGTAAATTGTTAAGCATATCTTCATTATGATGGATTATATTTATGATGTAAAAATGGTTATATATATTTATCTATGTTATAATTACAATTGCTCATTATAAATCGTTATATCACATTAAATCATTATAAGACTCACACTAGATAGACATTATTAGAGGGGAAACCTGTAAGAAAAGCCTAAAACGGTAGGTGATTTACTTTACTAATAAGTATTACCTTTTTCTGTTACAGATATTTGTACAGTACCCACTTGGAAGCCACTCACGCTCGAGAAATATTTCCTTGTTTTGACGAACCAGCTATGAAAGCAATTTTCACACTGACAATCACTTCACCTCCTGGCTATACAGCTATTTCCAACAGTGAAATTCATAAGAAGAAAGTTTTACAGAATAATTATACATTAAATGAATTTCATCCTACTCCTCCAATGAGCACTTATTTAGTTGCCTTGGTAGTATCTGATTTTAAAAACCTTGAAGGAAGAACTATAAATAACGTTCGCGTAAGTCAATCTCAATTTTACCATCATATCCGTTTTCCTGTATCACATAATTATTGTTTAAATTTAGGTTAGAACATGGGCAAATCCGCTTATGTACAAGTATACGAACTATTCGTTACATGTAACAATGAAGGTCATCCCTTTCTATGGAAAAACGTTCGGGGTAGCCTATCCTTTGCCTAAGATGGGTATATATGGTTTACTTTGATAATTTTACACGTATTAATTAGCTCATTTACGTCTATTTCGGTATTAAAGTATATGGATTTATATGTTTCTTCTTATATAATATAATGTAAAGACTACTAATCAAATCTTATTTGAATTAGATCTGGTTGCTATACCGGAATTTGCTGCTGGAGCTATGGAAAACTGGGGATTAATCTTATACAGGGAAACATCAATGATATATAATAAATGGGTTAATACTTTGCGTACAAAGCAGTGGGTAACTGTTGTAGTTGCACATGAATTAGCACATCAGGTATAGTACAACCTATTTTCGTATTTATATTAGATGAACCTAAATTCATTTCTTTAGGTAGGGTATATTATAATTTTGCTTAATACAATCTAATTAGATCACTATTTTCTGGCTTTATAGTTATCTTAAATTGTATTGTACTAAGTGTTCTTTCTGCTTAAGTTGTATTACTGTATTAATATATATTATTTATTTTCTACTGAATATCTTTCTTGATTTATTATACTAGTGGTTTGGAAACTTAGTAACGATGAAATGGTGGAGTGATATTTGGCTTAATGAAGGTTTTGCAGCCTTTATGGAACATGTTGGAACAAATCATGTTGCCCCTGAATTTCAAATGGTAGAATAATATTTACGATGAATTTTGTTAATTTGCTGTTTGGTCATATATAATTATGGACTCTTAGGACAATAATTGTTATTTATCTATCTCATGTTCTAACTAGTATGTTGTATACATAGATGAAGCAGTTTCTATTGCGAAATTTTCGTCGGGCACAGTATGCTGATAGTCTTCCTACGATACATCCTCTTGTATCTACGGCAACTAATAGCGATCAGATCGAGTCCTTATTTGACAGTATTTCCTATAAAAAGGTAGTCAAGATAAACTACTTTGTCGAAGAATTACAAACTGCTATTTCATAGTATAATTCTACAATATTATGCTGTGTAGTCATGCTATCTATTGGTTAATGTAGGGAAGTTGCCTTATAAGAATGGTGCGGGATTATTTAGGCATACCAAACTTTAATCAAGGAATTCGCCATTATTTATCTACGTATAAGTATAAGAATGCAGATCATAATAACCTATGGCAGGCTCTGCAATGGGCAAGTAAAATTTGGTTGATTTTATTTTTATGATGAAGGGATTAGGTACACCTGTTTACCATCTGGATATATACGTACAACATTTACTAAGTTGAGGCTTTTAAAATAATAGGCTAGCCATGGTAAAGTTAATATCTCTTCGATGATGAGTACTTGGGCCTTGCAACCTGGCTATCCAGTAGTAACTCTTGGAAGTCATAATAACAATGGTACAGCAACTATTAGTCAGCAAAGATTTCTGTCTGTTCGAAAATCGAAATCTGGGGATTACGGGTCGATAACTGCCTCGTGAGTAGATGCGGTCACTATTTTTATAATATTCAAAGAAGTCTTTCAAGAATTAGGCAGCAACATAGCATTAGCTTAAAGTTATTACGAAGATACAGTCGGAAATGCAAATTGTTTATATATCTACGTGCTATAACTTTCTATCTATTTCGATAAGCGATACTAGCGATGTTTGTACTTCGATCTTGGCACGTGAGATTTAAAAATAAATTAGATATTAAATTCGCTAATATTAATATTATCTTATCATTTTAACCAATACCAGGTCCCTTTGGCATATTCCCATATCATTTCAGACAAAAAATAACCGGACTGGTAAATTCATGTTGTTGAAAAGGGCCGGTATGTTTCAAGATAACTAAAATACATCAATGCATTATATATATCAATTAATGATCGGTATCAGCCGGATAGAATTTCGTAGCTATTAACTGCAAATCATTAAATAAATATAAATTGTAACTTGGTAGCTAGTACTACCTTTTAGAATGTTTTCATATATATTTGATCAAAGCAGTGAATAGCCAATTTGTACCATGTGCATAATTGCTAGGCGCTATCAACCGAGTATTCGTGAATACTAGTAGTATTTTCTAATTTGTTTTAATAAATCATAAATGTTTATTTCAGATATTTTTCCGTGGAAAAATACTGATGGATGGATAAAATTGAACTCTAACCAAATCGGCTATTTTACTGTTAATTATAACATCCAAAATTGGAATTCGCTGACAGATCAGTTAAAGAAAGATTTCTTGGTAATACATTGAAATTGAATAAATACAATAGCTTTATGATAGTAAAATAGACCATCAAACTGTTCCATCTATTTAAAATCTAGGACCAAAAATAAATACATTTGCGATTATAAGCTAATACATAATAGTTTTATATTTATACTCGTACGATAGTATGATGATTTATTTGGGAAAAGGTATTCCACTTGCGTTATTATATTCTTAAAAATTGAACTATAACGCCAACTAAATCGGTATTAAGCGAAAATTATTGAATTTACGAACGAAACTAGACAATTATCGCTATTACCATAAAAATTGTCGGAATGTTTATAAGTTATTCATTAATTCAGTATGATGACCAAATTATTGCGACTTTTTGATATTACAGGTGTTCAATGACATAGATCGCTATCAGCTCTTAGGCGACACTTACATGTTAGCTAGGTATGTGAGAACATATTGCGGATATTGTAAGATATGCAATGCATTAACCAAACCGGGAAACTGTTATCAAATAGGCCTGGCCTGCTAACCATAAAAGTCTTCCTTAATATGACAACCTACCTATTTAAAGAAAAAAATTATCTTCCCCTATACGCCGGTTTATATAGTTTAAGCGTAATCAAGCAGGCGATGTCATATAACAAAATTATCCACCAAAAATTCGAGGTAACTGTTTAATGATCAAATGTTAAATAGTTTGCTTTCCTATAAATTTTTAAAACCATGACGTAATTATTAAAAAGATCCAGAAAATAAACTACAGTGTATAGACTGCCATTATTAATAATCGATTATTGATTTCTAATTACCATTTATGGTTAGTAGTCAAATCCTTATTATTGATCTATTATCGTAATAACCAAATCTAGGCATATATCTATCGTTTGATACGACCTCAGATTCAGAGATTAGGCTGGAAACATCAAGCTTCGTATTTGCAGAGGTAACTAGATTTTATTACTTGTCTTGTTTATCATTATAATTATTAGCGTTCTCTTATTGATATCTACAACTTCATGAAGGACTGCAGTTTACTATCACTTTTTTCATCTATAGTTTTCACGGACTTGCATTTTGATTAATTACTTTATAATCCATCTAGTAAATTACAACATCTAATTTTGGTCTATGGCGTTCACTACAACGATAGTACAATAAAGTCATATAGTTTATCAGCTTATCATCAGTGGGTTTATAATAATACCAGGTAAGACTTAATAATTGCGTATCGCTTGTAGTTTTTAAATTGAATCAATAATCCAGAATAGGTGATAAAGCTATTGAAGTAGTTTAATCTCAGTAATTCTAAGGATTTATGAATACAGTTATTATATTGTAATTGAAAAATTTTATATAAGATAATTTTATATTAGATAACTTAGCGCGATTGTTTCGTATCATAGACTGCCTACGAAATTTCGTAGCCTTATCCTATCGGTAGCTATGAAATATGGTGGGCAACCGGCAGAAAAAGTTATGATGGATAAATATTTACATACAAGTTCATCATCTATGAAACGTTTATACTTTGCAATAATGGCTACATCAAAAGATCCTACATTTCTAAACAAGTATGGAATATAGCTACATAATTAAATAAGCAAATAAGTTTGTGAAATGAACTGAAAAATGTCTTGTAATAGCAGAAATTAGAAATCTATTAAATGTTAAAATTTTAATCGATCAGAGCAACAGTGCTTCTATACTTTTATATTATCTATTTTTGCTTAAGATTTCAATCTTTTCTTGGCTTTTTAGGCTATTGGTCATGACTTTGGATCCCAGTAAAGTAAGAATTGAAGAAACTGTAACGTATATGAGTTCTGTTGCTAGGAATTCTGTCGGATCTAAACTCTGCTGGGAATTCTATAAGAAGCATTTTCAAATTATTCATAAAAGGTATGCAATTATTATTACTGATAATAATTATTGGGTAAATGACCTGAATAGATGAGTATCCCTAGTGATATATAAATGATGAGTATTGACGTCATTAAATTTATATATTAATATAATAAAACACGATGTACTATTAATCTATTCATTTAAAACTGGAAGCGGTTATAGTAGTATTTTCTTTCTTGTTATAATCCTTAATATGTGTTGATAAGCGTATATAATTTGTTTAATAAAGCACGATCGATCAAAGTTAGAGAGCTATTTATTATATATTGGAATGACTATCAAAGTATTAAAAAATATTTTCTACGTGACATTGATTTACAGGTATAATTCAGAATCCTTTTCGTTATCTCACTTGATGAATTCTCTTACTTCCCGATTTAATACTGAAGCCCAGTACAAAGAGGTATCTAAATAGCAATTTTCCATTATTTAATACTCGCACGTATGATATCCTAAAACTTAGTTCTTTAACAAGCTAATGTACTGGATGTTGCAGTATATTCGAATGCACAATATGATTAACATTGTACATTAAGTATTTTTAAACGATATAATGACGTTTAACGCTTACTACCGTACTATTAAACAGAGCTTAATATAGAATGTAGAAAAGTAAAATTTCAGAAATAAGGATATTTATTATTTATATCTATCTTATAAAATCAATAATCATTAGGTAAAGGACTTTTATCGTGTGCATAATAATGTCGGCGTGGCAAAATCTACAATTCCAATTATCCTATCGAAAATCCGAGCTAGAATTGATTGGAAGATATTAAATGAGGCTGATGTAATACAGTGGGCAAACAAACATTTAACTTAAATGAATCGTATTAGATATCTTCATATACCTTTTAAGAAGAAATAAGGTCAAATCTAGTTTCATTTTATGGGATTACGTATGTTATATAATTATACATACAATACAGTACTGTCATAAAGTAAAATGATTCCGAATGTTAATTACGGCTATTATGTGTTTCATATTTAGCTTATTGTTGATAGATTTGATGACACTAATTTAGCTGTTTTCTTCATGATCTGCTGTATCTATCGCGAAATAGTGAAATTGCAGATTTATAGTGCTATCATACCTACTTCAACTGCTGTACAATATTGAATTGCACATTTCTCAGCCTTTTTATCTCTTTATGGCATATAGTATTATATATCATGTGATAGTACTGTATCTGCTGCCGGTTAAAAATCCATATAATAATTGAATTAAAATATTCCATTAGGTGTGTTTCAATTTTTTTACAAACCATATCAATCATTATATAATTAGATAATATTTATTACAATAACTAATTGCGTTTGTAACCTAATACACATTACTGCATAACAACTTATTCAGGATACCAATTACCAAGTATCCACTAGGGTCTTTTAACGTACTTCTTTAATTGCAATCAGTACCGTACTTAAAACACATAGTGATAAGATACCTATTTACATGTATATTATCATTTAATTAGAAGGTAGCTCCCTTTCTTCTAGATCATGACTAGAATATCGCCTAGTAAATTTGTAGTTACGAATGCGGTAATGTACTGTCTAATACCGTATAATACATGTATTTTAAGTGCCTTTATTTCAAGATAAAATGATTTTCGTGTTTTGCTAGTATTTATGTAACATCTTCATAGAGGTTAACTTACATACTGAATTGTGACTCATTTGAAAACTTATGTACGCGTACAATAAAATAAAATAAATAAATAAGTGTAATTTCGAACTACGGTAAAATTGCGTGTTTTTCGTTTACTTTAATGATTGAGAAAGTCTATTCACTCTTTGCCTAACAATTAATGATCTAGAGGCTTTTGTTTCAGTTTAAAATCTTTTAACGACACCGTGATTCCCGCAAATGCCGTACAACAAAATACCATTCAAAGTTAAAAAATAGTTACATTAATCATGGATTTTTGAGGATTATTTATTAGCTACAGTCTCAGGCTCATAGAGTCAAACTCAAACATCTATAATACTCGTATACAATAGCATAAAACTTGTCGTGAGATGCAGTAATTTTCTCTGGAGTTGATTAGGCATCATGACCAATACAGTAATCTTCCTTCTTCAGGTTAAAAAGTAAAAAGTAAAGTCAAAATTAGCCGGATTAATATCTGTACAGTGTGTACAGTACACGGCACAAGTTTCGTTGATCAATTACAGTACTGCTGTAACTGCGCCTACAGTATGATCTAGTATAGTACAGTGCACTAGTCCATATTTCTCTATAGCTGAGAACAATGGGACTGTAGAAAATTTGACTTTAAACTGTAGAACAACTTACGATTATTACTATATTACGCCGTAAATATTGTATAAAATAGAAATTGAACTACATACTTCAAATATACAACTCATATGCTATCGATTGATATAATTTTACCCTAAGCTGGTCGATACTTCTACATGTATTCCATTTTTTAGTTATCTACTGCGAAATTAATCACGCTCTGTACTGTACAGTACACTACAGTACAGTACAGTACAGTACAGTGCACTCAGGTCTACAGTGCAGTACTGTACATGTGTACTGTACAATAGGCAACTTTTTCAGGGCGGACGGACTGACGATCACTGACGTCTGATGTCACTTTCGCCTCTCTTGACGTATTTTGTACAGTACAATACTGTACTGTACAGCATCGTACTGTGCAAACAGGGACCTCTAATAATGAATGACTCAGTTTATTACCGTACTGTTCAGTGTAGAGTACTCTGATGTCCTGTACTGTACTGTAGGCTGTAGAAAGTAAAAAAAAATGGGAAAGTCTCTGGCTGTAGCTTCACACTGTGAGTGACAGTTGTGACAGTGAAGCTCTGAGAGGAGTCGCTGCGAGACTGCATTTAGCCCAGGTGATAATAATCGTACCGTACCGTACCGTATAGCGGTCCTACTGTGCTATTTTATTTGTGGAGGTGTTCTGATTTCTGCATGTTTTCTAGCTCACAAATACCATACAGTCCTTGCTGGATACGGTAAATCGGTAATCGCCCATCTCGAAGAAGGACGTAAAGCTGATTGAAAAATTGTGGTTAAAGTTCAGAAGCTAGCGTGTATTCCGACAGGTGAAAGAAATTTTAGACAGTAACTATAAATTGATATTGACCAGTATAAACCTTGTAGGCTAATCAGACTTTTCTGGTACTTGTAACAATCTGCATAAACAATTCCACTTCATACCGTATTGATGTTGAGCATATCCAATTCTCCATATAGGATATTGTATGAGTTTTAATGTACTTTATCTCTGTCCAAGGCTATATTGTTCATTCCGTTGCTAAAGATTGTTCCTTCGCTTGCTTTAGGTAGCCATCATGTCGCAATCGTTAGCGCTGAGGATTGTCCTCATCCATCTGCATGTGAAACAAATTAAAACAATGAAAGTAAGTGGATCAACATGACTTTATGAATTTTGCTTCTTGTGTTTTTTTTATCCTTACATCGTATTGAAATGGAATTGAAATCTTGCAAGATTAAGGCACACAAGTCAGGAGAAATTAATATGTGATTGATCTTGAATTGTACTAAGTAAAATCTTGACAAATTTTTGCTATGCCTTGCTTTCCATTGAAAAGTCTATAATGGACCTGGTAGTGTGACTCATAATACTCTAGTCTTGATACGGCATTATTGTTTGAATGTTTTCTACCTCCTGTCTGGGTAGTACGGTACTATTGGTACGTCCAATCAATGTGATCGTCCATCACCACCAAGGCTCTTCTACTTTCCTTCAATACATTACAATTCTGGTGTTAAAGTAAATTGTCTACAGTATTCCAACTGAGCAAGATTCTGGATTTTATTGATGTCTTCGTACTTGCCATGCTTTCAAATGTATGTTTAGTCATTAGTCTACTCTAGGCTTTTTACAATGTTGGCAAACTTGAGCCATTGAATGGATTTACCCTACGTTATCTTACTGTACAGTACTGTATATGCTGTAGTACAATACTGTATTGTAGTGATTGTAAATGAATTACACCAGCAATAAATACGTATAGGATACGCCATGCTTACAGCTAGAACGTGTTCATGCCATCTAAATGGTTGACCAAACGGCCTACTGGTAAGACCGATTCATTAGAAGAACAGTACTCTTGCTTTATGACGGAAATAGCGGATAGGCTATTTGGGGACTAGACCCACTGACGACTGGAAGTACTTTGAGATTGAATGGTAGATGCGCGTGGGTTTTTTGTTCACTAAATCCAAAATATGATTTCTAAGGATTCAGTACTCTGAGGAAGGATTCGGATTCGATTTTACCGGATGAGAATCGGATTTCGTAGTGCACAATTCACTTGATCGCTGCCAGCAGTCGACATTACACCGTAATTAAGACTGAACTGTGCTGTGAACAGCACGGTACGCTGTAGCGACACAGTAGTTGATTGCTGAGCTCTTTAATCGGGCCTAATTTTAATTTTGTCCAATACGTAAGATGTGTTTTGACGTAATTGCAAATAGTGTACAGTACAATCAAATCGTAGTTGCTACAATACAGTATTTGATTCGTGAAATGATAGCGGTAGCATTGTTACCTGGGTAGTTTCTCGTATACTAGCCAGTCCTTTGGTGCGATAGAATAGTCATTTATGTAATAATATTGTGTGTGGAGCTTTTGCTTCGCATTGTTTTCAAACAGAATCCCGTAGTGTGAGGACCTGATTGGCAGATGATCGATAGAGCTTATGATTAATACGACAGAATGACAGCACAGTAGTAATCGATATCGCGTAGTTAGATACCTTCCGCATCTGATAATGACAGCATTATGCGTACACGTACATTGTATACCCGCATACCATAGTCCATTGAAAAAGCTGTTAAAGAGGTTAACAACTTGTTTAAATAGCGTTTGACGTTCCTCCCTGTAATTAGGTGTTTCTAATGCTAGTATAGTAAGCAGTAATAGCGAGAGTACAGATACTGTATAAGTCAGTATAACCCAATGACTATAATGTAATCATATAAATTAATTAATTATAAAAGCCCTCAAGTGACAATTAAAGGATCATATTTGCTTTTCTATAAATTATTTGAATCAATTTGTTTACGTTAACCTTGACGGACTCACTTTTCAATACAGTGCATGATGTTTCCTGAACTTTGTTCCTAAATCGTATCGAAATTTAGGATTTTAAAGTGATCTTGTAGAGGACATAGTATTCTGTGGCTTTATACATCGTTATGTAATTTTAATATTTGCATTGAAAAAGGTTAAAATGCTAGAGTTGTAATTACTTTATACACACGCAAGTGTTATAGACATTTGTACGAATATAATCGATGAGATTGCATGATTCAGCCCAACCCAGAGAATCGAATAGCTCTACATTCAGTATTTCACCTAAAATGCCTTATTTCATTCACGAATCCCTAGTTGTGCCACCTCTTGGTAATACAGTACTTAAATCTTGCGCTAAACTGTACAGTAGCTGAAGAATATATAATGTGTACAGTACATAGCACATTACTAGGAGATAGTATGCCTTAGCAATTCTAACGGTGTAAGAGCGTAGTGAGAAGCAGCGGCTAATACCTTTATTCTTTAGTATTCCCTGGAAAGATATTGAACTCGTCTTTGTTTTTATCTATTTTTATGATAGTTTGACAGCTCATCCATTATTTACGATGTCTGCAAGTCTATTTATGAAAAATTTAGTGATTACAACTTAGGTCCAGGTAAGGAATGTATGTATGTTAGCCATGTTGTAACTTTTGAAAATTGTAGAAGTGTCTAGATAAGGATAAATTTTTGATAATAATATATTATTACAACTAAAACAATAGATGACAAAGTATAAGCTGCTTTTGAATACCGTAGCATGTCTAGTAGTAAATTGCGTCGCTATCGAAGGGAGAGACCATCATAGTTAAAAATAGTTATTGTTTCAGTAATAATTTTTGTGCGTTTAACCAAGGTGTAAATAAACTTGGTTTAAAAGATAGTGAGTGAAATTTTCCATTAGTGTTAACGTAAATTAAGGCTTTTTTGTGATAGATAAGAAATTATTCTTCTGTACTAAACTCTTACTCTTTATCAATGATTTACTGTGTGTGTAGAAGCTGATTATGGTCTATTCTTAGCGGATGAAGATCCTAAGAAGGGTATTTGGTTAGATCCTGGCCACGCCCTAGATTTTTACATGCTAAAAAATGGGGTATAGTATTCCGATACAGTATTAGTTTTAACCTATCATGTCAGGCTATTAAAAGTCTGTATGTTCTGAAAGTGGACAGTGGGTCAAATATTTCTAAAAAAGTTGAATTTTTCATTCAGTGTCAGAGTTTTTATTCATTACTTAATGAAATAATACTGTGTAATCAATCTGAGCAAGTCATGAAAAGCAATCATTGTAATTTTGGATTGCCTTTTTATGAGTAACACTACTATATCCTAAAGAATGATTAGGAGCTACCATATATTACGCCTGTAAAACATAACTTCTATTATATAATATTAGCTATAATTGTTAAACTGAATTAATTCAGTAAACGCGTGACTATTAATCATGTAAAGATTAATGTAGTAAAGTGATTTATGTATGGTATGGTAATGGTACTGTATACCTAGTATTTGTCATAAACCTTGACGTAGTGAAAAGTGTTTCAAGAGTTTAAGTTACGTAGGATGTTATATTTGTAGCTGTTCGTAATGACTACATATTTTTTCTTAATCTTTAACTGATTATTTTGGATAATATTTAAAACAGGATCTAGTCGAGTATAGGCGTAGAATGAGACCCTTGAAAGTAAAAATGTTGGACGGAACAGTCAAGACTGTCATGGTAAGTGGCCGTAAAGAAACGATGACAATCGACAGGATATTTCACCTTTATTTTGTCACGTCGGTGATTATAAAAAACTCACCGACGGGAATCAATTATTCTCGGATTTGAAAAATATATTAGAAGTATTTTCAATAGCATAATAGTTAAATGATTTTTCTCATAATTAGACCGATATATACAGTACGCGTATATTACTGTTATCAACTATAATATGACCGTCGATTTGTAATTATAGAGTATATTGGTAATACATATACATGTCGGGAAGTATAATTAAGTTAAATTCTCTCTGCTGTTAGGCTGACGACAGTCATCACGTTGGACAATTAATAAAGTCCATTTGCTTAAAATTAGGTTTGGATCTATTTATTTATGTTTTCACAATAATGGAATAGACTAGATAACACGTAAATTTATTAATATCTGCCTATTACCAGTAACTCCGATAACAAAAATGTCTTAGGGAAAAAAGGAAATAATTTATTACTTGTTATCATCATGTAGGTATTCAAAATTCGGATGAGTTTTCCCTTGTTGTAGAAGAAGTCAACGATGAGATATCGAACAAAACTCAAACGAAAGTAGGCAAACAAAAATGGATATTTATCGTTGATTTTTCAAGACTATATATACAGTATATAGTACATGTATTTTGATCTTTAAAATCATATAGGATAAAACTATCCAACGAGACCAGAAAAAATTAGATCAACTTATCAAGAAACTGCATACGGATGATGAATGTACATACAGCTTTCCATTGATTTTCTCAACTATTTGCTTGTTTTGTTGCTTATGCATGATCACGTTTTTCAGTAAATTGGCTCGCTCATGAGAAAACATTAAGAGAACAAGGAGTTGATGAGTCGCAAACTCTTGTACTTAGGTAATAGAAATTAGACCAATTGTTATCGGTGTAGAAGTTGACGTATGTTATTTTAAGAAAAAATTTATAATACATTTTTATTTTCATGCTTGTAGACGGCGGTTTTTCTTTGCTGACTCCAACGTCAGTACTCTAGATCCTGTTCAGTTGAATTTGCTTTATGTACAGGTATAGTGTTTGTGTTGTAATCACATTATTATTATTAGAGATAAATGTTAGCGTGTACATCATAATTTATACGAGTAATACAGTATAACAGAAAATTGAATATTATGCAGTGCTATTCATATTATCTACTAATGTCTTTGCTAGACGCGTGATGATATTATTAAAGGCACGCATCCGGTAACCTTTGAAGAAGCTTGTACGGTTAGTCCTGTTGTCATTGAGCTTAAAAGCGGTTACCATTTAGCATTTATATTTCGGATTAAGTATCATATATGTATCCAACTTTACATATTGTTTTTTTTAACTTTTTTAGTTTGGTGGTCTGCAATGCCAAATTCAAATTGGTAATCACGATCCGTCAAAGCATAAGCCTGGATACGTAGAGTACGTGTTAACTGATCGTAATCCTTTTTGTCAGATTTAAATTTTTTTACGGAAATTTTTATTAATTCAATAGTTTAAAACAGTACTTGCCTGCTGAATATGTAAAAATGCGAGGAGCAGAAAGAAAGATACTTTCGGTATTCTAGAAAAGAGCAATTCTTATATTTTGAAATTGAGCGATGAATTACTATAAAGCCTTCTGTTTGTGATTGTAACCTCCGTATCAATCTACGTAAATAGGAACATGCAGAATTAGGTGGCTTGTCAGAGTTAGAGGCAAAAGAACAGTACGTCAAGCAATGTCGTGCACTTAAAACCTATGGTGTTACTTTCTTTGTAGTCAAGGTAAGTTCTTGATTTTTGTTTAGTTTTTTGGCACTATTTGAAGCTAATGCAATGTTTTGCTGATCATATTATATTAGGAAAAGATAAAAGGAAAGAATAAATTAGCTCCACGATTATTAGGTATAACACGAGACAGCGTTTTGCGAGTAGATGAAAAGACAAAAGAGGTAACTCTTTTTTACTTGAAATATTGTCATCGTTGACCAACTTTATTTATAAAGTTTACATTTATTTAGGTTCTAAAGTCATGGCCTCTCACAACCATCAGAAGATGGGCAGCATCAGCGAACAGTTTTACGCTTGTAATAGACAACTTAAATGGCTACCTTGACCATATCGGTTATGACTTTGTACCTACTTAGATATGATTATGTTTGCAGGATTTTGGTGATTACTCGGATTCCTTCTATTCCGTACAAACAAAAGAAGGAGAGCAAATTTCTCAATTAATAGCCGGATATATTGATATTATTATAAAAAAGGTAAGTTTCAATCGCCACCTGAACTGATGTATGATAATAAATCTTTACGAAGGCAGAGTAGTTGATACTTCCTTACTACCTGTACATTCAGAGGAGAGTTGAAGGCCGTCAGTTAGACTTTGATGAAGAAGGCGCAGTAATGGAGGATTCTGTATCTCCGGCTAGGTACTGTTCGTAAATCATTTATAATTAAATTTTTAAAATTAATAAACCAATGACAGTTTTGGGCTATACGTGTTTATTCACATCGTTTAGTGCAACAGTAATTCAACAAAGGCAGGGGAACTCCGCTCATTCTGAATCTCAAAGTGTCTCAGTTCCTGGTATTGTTGGGCAAGGCGGACAAGGTAATGCGTTGTCATCATGGATGTTATGCTAAATTGTTATGAGCACTTTATACGAAAACGCCCTTTCTTAATTTACGATAGCTCCGCAAAGTCTTATTATGGGCTCAGTTCAGCAAAATGCGCATATATCTTCCAAAGAAAAACATGCACATCAATTACATGCGCCGTCCGGGGTAAATACTGTTATTAATAGGACGGAAACCTGGAATCCAACTTACAGTAATATCTTGGATATATCCATTAATTTTACAGGGTCCGCAATCGGTTATGATGGGCAGTAGACAGAGTCCAAAAGCAGCCTTTTTAAGTAATATTTCGGCTGGTTTCATGGCAGCATCTGCCACAACTGCAGCATTAGATGAGCCAGCCGAGTTGCCAGATCTTGGTTCAGATCCGGCATCTTTACAGTGGAAGCGTAATACCCTTCACATATCTCAAGAAAATGTCAGAGCAAACATAGCTGCAATTAATGGATCCGCTGCTGCAATAATACTGTTAACATCAAGTTAGTTACATTTAGACTGGCATTCTGCAAATTATTAATATCTAAATTTTATTGGTTAACATTAACATTTTAGATCCTGATAAAGAAATTGATTATACAGCCATTGGCTCTTCCGTAACAACCATTTCGTCAAATATGAATGATATGGCCAAAAGAATAAAAATGATTGCCGCTTTGCAAGACGATGAGTACAGTGTTGACTTGATTACAGCAACTAAAGAGTTAGCTTCTGCATTTGTAAAACTGCTAAAATCAAGTCAACCAGAGAGTATGGAATCGCGGCAGAGTTTGTTGGAGGCAGCTAATGATGCCGGAATTCATAGTAAAAGGATCCTAACGTATATGGGGGATAAGACCTTAAACGAGCAATTTCATGTACGTAGCATTTCAGCTTGGTAGTAATAGTAACGCATGTATCTTTATCAAAAATTTTCAATGTTCTAGGAGGATCTCCTTAACGCCGCTAAAGCTGTAGCGTTGGCTACTACTACTTTAATGAAGCAAGCGAAGAATGTTGCGTCCAATTCTAACGACCCGTCTCTTCAAGATACCGTAATCATCACTGCTAAGAATGGAGCCATTTCTTCATCGCAGCTTGTAACCTGTGTCAAAATTCTTAGTCCCACATTGGATTCCCTACTTTGTCAGGAGCAACTTTTTGATGCTGGTCAAAATGTGATTAAAGCTATAAATAACGTTGTTGCTGCTTGCAAGGTAATTCATTTCGGATTATATTATAACAATATCTTATTTAGATGTGATATTACAAATAAAAACTACACGTAACCAGTTCATTTTAGAAAAGGACTGTATATCTTCTTATTTAGAATGAAAGCGTAGACGAAGATTTACAGGAAGATGTTGACGAGGCAGCTAACCAAGTTAAAATCGCTATTGATAACCTTAATAACTTTGTAAAGGGAAACTTATCAAGCAGTAATGAAATAAGCAAATACGATGGAATTTGTGACGTGATATTAGATGCCAGCGAGAAATTGTTTAATAGCGTTGGTAACGCTGTAGAAATGATAAAACAAGCTAAGATGATGGCCCAGGTATCGTAGCTAAGCTTTCTGAAGATTGTTTTGCACGAAATTGAGGCTATTAACTCCCGTAACATTGTTTAATAGGGTGCGTCTGATCTCGTAAATTCTATCAAACTGGAGGCAACAGAAGAACAATACGAAGGGGACAGACAGAAATCGTTGCTTTCTGCAGCACGCATGGTTTCGGATGCAACTGGTCAAATGGTTGCTGCCGCTAAAGTATGATTTATTATTCTTGGTCTTCTGTGTTAGATGATTTTCGTTTTAAATCGTAAAATTTTTTAGGCTTGTACGCAAAGACCAAATGATCCAGTATTACAGCAAGAACTTAAAAGAACTGCTGAAAATTTGAGATATTCCGTAAATGCAGCTTCAGGAAATGCCCTTATAAGAAAACGAATATTCGATCTAGAAGTTAGTATTAAAGTCAATAAAAAAGTAACGAGTTACGGGTATTATTAATAACTTTTATTAATAAATAAATGTAAAGATTGCCGCAAAGCAGTTGGCGATATCTACAATGCAGCTAATTGCTGCAGCTCATGGAGTTTCTACGTCCAATAGAAATGAGAATTCACAGAAAGATCTTGAGGCTAAGTGCAAGGTTTGCATTTTACTTTTAATACCTTTTCGATTTAATATTTAGAGTTATTTGTCGTATGATAATTAATTTATTACCAAATTGAACAGAGTACTGGCGATAGCTGTGCTAAGCTTATTGAAGGTTACAATAATAGTGCTGCTAATCCGAATAAAACTGGATATTTACTAGCCCTTATTAGTGCCAGTGAAGAAATGATACAAGTATGTCTAACTTCGATGGAAATTTCTATTAAGCAATGCTTACATCATTTCTAAGTTTTATTGTCCTAAAAATTAGCCTGCAAGTGACCTCATTACATCAGCAAGATCAGCTAATCCGCATGTAAATAATATGGCTGCCGCTAATCAGTTGTCAGCTTTTACGAAAGCCACTGTTACTGCATTGAATGATCTCAAAACAGCTTGTAATAAGGTACACCACTAAAATTCTTACAAGTACCTTCAAGCTACTATGGCTAGGTAGTTTTGGTATGATCTACGGTATATTTTCAAACTGTACGATTCTTTTGGTATATTCTTTGTTAAGGCCTCCGAAGTTTGTGGATCGGTTGAAATGGATACCACCTTAGAAGTTGTTGATTCCTTAATTGAAGACCTAGCAGCTATCAGAGTAGCTGTAGATGCGAAGAAATTATTACCGCTACCTGGAGAGTCGGTAAGTGTAGATCTATGTAATTGTATTCAATCATTCGTACCAGGTTATACGTGACAATTTTATTAATCTATTTCTTTAATTAGCTGGAAGCATGTACAATGGAATTAGGCGCTACCTGTAAATCCCTAGGATCTGCGATGGCACAATTAATAACAGCTGCTACACAAGTAAACCTTGGTTTATCTTATTTTAAGTTAAAGTTAGTTTAGTTCTTTTCAACTGTAATTCATCTGATATGTTCATATACAGGGGAACGAAAGCTATACAGGTTTGGCTGGACGTGATATGACCAATTTACTACGTGCATTAACCGGATCGGTGCGAGGAGTTGCAGCAGGATCCGATGACGTTATTGAACAAGCAAAGATTATTAATAATGCTGATGAAGTATTAAGGAAGTCGAATACACTTTTAAGTAACGCAAAACTTCTTGCCTTGAACCCTGGCGACCCGAACCTAAAAACATTACTGCATGAGGTGCGAGTCTTAACCTCGATGAAAGCTTTGCATCGTGTTTCTGTTGCATACACTAGTGTTATTTATAAAATTGTTTATAATTTGCTATACATATACCGTAAAAATATTTGCACTGATGTCTATCTGAACTGAATGACGTTAAATTAATGAAGGCTGCTAAGGATATGGCCAGTGCTTTAACTAAGTGCATTGACTGTTTACCTGGTCAAAATGACGTCAACACTGCTATTGATTCTATTCGTGACTCTTCCAATTCTTTAAAGGCCAATGTAAGACCCATTTTATCAGTAAAGGGAATTTCACAGCTAATTGCTCTTCTAACTTGAGTCTATTTTAGCTATCAAGGGATAGAAGCCTTCAAGACTGCCAAAATAAATTATCCACAATGGCGGCAAGTCTCAACGTACTCGCTAATGAAGTAGTTAAAGTATCGACAAATTCTTCCCAGGAACTTCCCGATTCAGCTAAGAAATTTGCAGCAATGCATAGCCGACTACTATCTACGGGTTCAGACGTAGCAGGACATTTTGACGTGAGACTTTATTTTGGTGTAAGTGTCATTCTTGTTGTTGCTATGTATGTATATTGATACTACTTTGTGCAATTGTAGGATAATTTAGAGCAAGATAAAATTGTTGGAAATTTAAGAAACATTTCTAAGTCCTCCATAAATCTGCTATCAACTGCAAAGTTGCACTCTATGAACCCTTCTGCACCGAATATTAGAAACGAATTAACCGCAGCTGTTAGGTAAAGTTTTCTACGATTACATTCATAATAATCTTGTAGAATTCATAAGATGATTGATTATGCAATAAAAAAACAATTTACTTCTATGTATTTGACTACTATAGGGCTGTTGCGGAAGGTATCAATAAGCTAATCGATTCATGCACAAAGGTATCATCACTTGGTGCTAAGGAATGTGAGAGGGGATTAAGAAGGATTCAGGTAAGTACTTACAAGATTTCAGTGTAGCTTTAATTATGTTTGCTATATTCATTTCGCTAAAGTTACTCAAGGAAGAATTCAACATCTATAGGTAATGGCCGGTGTCATTGACAGCCCTAAAGAACCCGTAACAGATGCATCTTACTTTGCTTGTCTTGAAACTGTTGTCGAAAAGTCGAAACTGTTGGGAGAGACTATGTCTTCTGTCAATAACCATGCTAAGAAATCCGAAGAACCTGAATTTATTAATGCTGTCAAGATGTCTGTGGATCTCATGTGCATACTACTTGAAGCAGCTGCACAGGTATGTACCGTATTTGTGATAACGTTTATATTAAATTTAAGATCTCAATGTTTTTCTCTATGTAAGAATAAATGTTTATATTTATTTGATTATACTGTAGGCTGCATACCTAGTTGCAATCTCTGATCCAAGCAGTATTGCTGGCAAGCCTGGATTAATAGATCAAGCATACTTTGCCAGGCTTAAACAAGCAATCATTCAAGCAACTGATACTGTTGCCAAAACAGATAGTACTTCGGAAGAATTATTAGTAGCAGCTACTGAAATTGCGAAAAATTCTACTTTACTTTGCACGGCATGCAAAGAAGTCTCTGTAAAAACAAGCAATCCAGTAGCTAAAAGACAATTTGTACTCTCAGCTAAAGATGTTGCTAATGGAACAGGAAACGTTGTTCGAAGTATCAGAGTATGTATAGATTATTGCTTTAAATGTTCGAAAATAACCTCAGCAATTTTAGTCAATTATGTATGATGACTAAGTATCTTTTACAGATTTAATAAGCTTACTATTTGATCTTATATAGAATCTTGCTGCTGCGTACTCAAATGATGCGAAAGAAACGTGTATTGCGGCAACTAGACCATTGGTAGAGGCTGTGGAATCTCTAATATTATATGCATCGTCTCCTGAGTTCGCCTCTGTTCCTGCTAAAATCAATACAAAAGTATGTTCACGAATAACACTTATGAGTAAGCCAATACATATAAATTGTAATCTATCTATCATTAATTATCTTTCTATCTGTAGGCTCAGGAAGCCCAGGTACCCATAGTTACTGCCGGTAAAGTGATTGTATCTACTGGTAGCACTTTATTTAGTGCAGCGAGAGACCTAATGTTTGACGGTGAGGACAATACCCAGCCTTCAAAACTTTCTGGCCACATCAAAGGCGTTCTTTCTGCTATAAAACAATTGGTAGCAGCAATTAAGTAAGTCAACTCATCGATAATGGTATAGTGTTACTAAGCGTAGTAATTTTTAGAGCGTGGATTTAATTAAATTACGGTACACTTGATAGAGAAAAAGCCCCAGGACAGCAGGAAATTAGTCTAGCACTTGATCAGATCAATCGATGTATAACAGCAATTAATCAGAATGCCTTACTGGCTATCAGTGGCATGTTATCGCCTCAGGAAGATGCTACACTTCAGGTGAAATGCAACAGATATATAACATTTAGGTTTTGTATTGGGTATATCTTAACTAAAATGAAATCTCGTTAGGCTCTGCAAGATCGGATGACTGGGTTAGTCAATGAAATGCTATACTCTGTTGATGGCTTGGCTACAGCTGCTAAAGGAGAACCTGAAAAATTGGGTCACCAGGTAACATGTAGTACTTGCTTTTGACACTTTAAAGGAAATCGTTCTCATACTGTACACATTGTCATAGGTCGCAGCCTTTACCAATTTTATTGAGCCTTTAACAAACGCTGCCATTGGAGCGGCATCAGTAATGAATAATCAATCACAACAAAGGAATTTGCTAGATCAAACTAAGACCGTTACTGAAGCTCTCTATAGCTTGATGTCGGCGGCAAAAGAAGCCGGAGGAAACGTCAAGGTTTGTACATTTGTGAAATATCGTATTAAAATCCGTTTTTAAGGTTCTTACTGATACATAAGTTAATATGTGTTAGTGATTTTATAACATATCAGACGCTATATTATTACAACTCTATGATTACGTAGATTATACTTTAACTAATGCCGTTTTGCTTTATAAAGGCTACCATCCAACATGAACATGTTAACGAATCCAGAAGCGAAGTTTGCGATGCCTTAAACGATCTAAGAAAGACTCTTGAAAAAGCTAGTAGTAATGCAAGCGTCATAAAGCAGTATATTGAAAATATTAATAAAGCAATGGAAAAAGTATGTAACATCATTAAAATGTACTCTGATAAAATAAATGATGCGCTGTAATTTTAATTATTTGTTATTATTTGTGCAGGCATCAAATATTGTTGAAGCCAAGCCAGAGCACTCTTTTGTGGATTATCAAACACGAATTGCTCGAACTGCTAAGGCTATAGCTACTTGTAGTCAGGACATGGTATGGCTTTTTTCTCTTATCATGTAGAATTCTTGCGCCGTTTTACTATTATCAACAATGATTTATTAGGTTGGAAAATCGGCTACCAATCCGCAAGATCTTATTCCTCTTACCGGAAATTTAGCCAAGAGTTATATATCTTTGGCTGATGATACACGATGCGCTGTCGTGACGATTGGAAATGCAGAGGTATACTATCACTGCATCTAGACTCACAAATAGACGATAGCTCATAACTCACTCATCGTGTAGTGAAATCCATGTTAAGGTATACAATTCATAAAATGTAGGTATCGACAAGAATAAAAACCTCAGTTTATGAAGTGGGAAAATCTTCATTAGCGCTTACCAAGTTATGTGGACTTGTGGAGTCTGATCCTGATGATCAATCCTTAAAAAGAAAACTAGCTGACAGTGCTAGAAGTTTAGCTGAGAATGTTAGCACTAAAGTTATTAAAGTTGACTTTCATGTTTTTCCTTTCACTTAAATTACGACATTCTTTACATTCAATAGGTTTCCTATTTAATGGCTGCAATGCAATCGGGATCAAGAGGTACCCAGGCATGTATTGATGGTTGTACTATACTTTCTGGTTTAATTGGTGACCTGAGTACATACAGCATGTTTGCCTCTGCTGGGACGCTCGAAAGTGAAGTTGAAAATGATTCTTTTGTAAATTACCGGTACGTGACATCTAAGTTCGTTCAGTTGATAGAAATCTTTTCTACGTCTCTTATCATAATGCTATTGACATTTCGTAAACAGAGATGAAATCTTACTGGCCGCAAAATCTTTGGCTGAAGATTGCTCAAAACTGACTGCCAGCTCGTCGTTTACGCAGGAGCAGCTTGCAGATGATATTCATAAAATTATTGATCGAATATCCTGTCTTAGCAACAGTATTAAACTAGGAGCGTCTGCCCTCCCAGTAGCTGAATTGGATACTCAAGTTGGTGCTCATAAGTTATCAATTTATGGCTTAAGCAATTATTACTTAGTTCAAATTCGTTGATAATTTACTGTATAGAAATCTTTTATAACAATGTAGGTTATGCTCTTAAACAGCGCTATGGATGTAGCAGTTGCTTTAAATAATCTCCTAAATGCGACCAAAAGTGCATCTGGAAAGCCAGATTCAGATCCTAGTTTCGCGGAATTGAAAACGAATGCAAAGGTATCTTCAAAAAAACTGTTTCTCTGATACAATTTTCAAAAAAAGAAAATCGCATTTGAAATGATGGATGTATCATTTCGATTTGCAACCTCTAGAGTCTCGTAGAATCAGTATCGTCTTTAATTAAAACGGTGACGACTGTTGGAACATCCTCAGCGCGAGGCCTAAGAGCCCTAGAATCAACAATAAATGCAATTAGCCACGAATTGAAGGTATTTTAGATGCTGTCTACTTTATATCCAAAATTTTGATAATGAAAATTTAAAGTTTTATTATTGGGATTGATTGATTAGTCAATCGACAAACCACCTGAAAATTCAGAGAGAAAAGTGACTCCGGAAGATTTAATCCGTAGTACTAAAGGAATTACCGTCGCCACTGCTAGGGCTGTTGCTTGTGGCAATTCTGGTAAACAAGAGGATATTCTTGCGGCTGCGAATGCTGGTCGACAAGCTGTATTCAATATGATTGAAATGGTCAAGGTTAATATGAATATAAACTGAGTGTATTGTTTATGAAGAACCTCCTTTCATTTAAGAGAGGTAATGAATTTTTGTTCGTATATCGCAGCTTGCCGCACTCGAATGTAATTTGGATGTTAAAACGGATCTCATAAGTTCATGTCAAGATTGCGTGAACTACTTCTTGAAATTATTGCAGTCTTTATCGCAGGTAAGTGTTGTTGCTACTTTATTTATATTGCAATAGGTAAATAGTATAATATTAATTATTTTCTGTACGAACGTAAATGATTTAGACATTAGAGAATCCAACAACTGAACGAAAACAAAGTTTACCACTACAATCAAGATATGTTGCCTCAGCTGTTAGTGAATTAGTTAGAATCGCTCGCGAATTGAAAGGTTAGCATTGTTTGATAATGTTAATGTAATGTATTATGTACTAAAGCTAAACGATACGTAACATAATGTTTACAACAGGAAATGATTATGTGGATCCTGAAGATCCAGCTACTATGGCCGAAAATGAGCTTTTAAATGCTGCGGCTTCAATCGAAATGGCTGCTAAAAAGCTGGAAAAATTGAAGCCAAGACAGATGAAAAATGTGAAGTGCTAGATGGTTTTAAACATATTAAATGGAATATATAAATTGATTGTAGTATTTTACTCATTTTAGAGTGCGGATGAGTCATTAAATTTTGAGGAACAAATTATAGAAGCAGCAAAATCTATCACCTCTGCTACTGCATTACTTATAAAATGTGCTACAGTTGCTCAGAGGGAGCTAGTAGAACAAGGAAAGGTAATTTCGTTTGCTATTACTTTTTTCAATATTGATAATATTCGAATACTTTTGCTCACATACTGTACTTGTATATAGATAAAAGATATTAAAGGTGGTGAATCTACTCAGGAGGAATCTCAGTGGTCGGAAGGCTTGATTTCAGCTGTATGCCAATCTATATCATTCCTTACTATTATTTCTTAATTTGTATTAGCTATAGATGTAAATCAGTTTAAATTCTATCGGATTTTAGGCACGTATGGTTGCAACTGCAGTTGGAGCTCTTTGTGATGCTGCTAATGCGGCAGTACAAGGAAATGCAAGTGTAGAACGCCTTGTTTCATCGGCTAAGGCAGTGGCTGCTTCTACTGCTCAACTTCTTGTAGCATGTCAAGTTAAAGCTGACAAAGAGAGCAAATCGAATGCTAGACTTCAGGTAATGTTAGACTATTTGTCCTAGCTCCTATTTGAATGCAATACATAGAAATGTCTAGCGCTAACTTTGATTCTTATTCAGGCCGCTGGAAATGCTGTAAAAAAAGCAACAGATAGTCTGGTTAAAGCCGCTAAGGTTGCCCGTGGTGATCGCAATAGTGATCCAATTGGTCAACCTGTAATAGTTAATAAAAAGCTAGTTGGAAGCTTAGCCCAAGAAATTGAGGCGCAAGAAGCGATTTTGAAAAAGGAAAGAGAATTAGAAGAAGCAAAGAAAAGGTTAGCTGCTATTCGTAAAGCGAAATATCACCATGATTCACAAAATAAGCCTGGCAAGGGTAGCGAAACGCCTGAGACGAGTGGAAGTAGTAGCAGCGGATTGGATGCCTTTGGATCACAGTAAAGCGTATTTTAGCCGCAGTAGATATGTAGTTTAGTACTTCGTCTATGAAGGAACATTACCACCTTGGACGAGTAGCTTCGTGAAAGTACTATTTAATCAATTTTATTATGATCATGGAAAATATAGTTTTTGGTTACATCCCACAATGGATTTTAATTTATAAATGTTTTGCTAATGTCCTCTGTGTATCCGATGGTAATGTCCTTGATTCCGATAAGATACTTGATTTGCAGAATGCGTTAATACCAGGTAACCTGGACCCGGTTTTCCTAATCTTTTGAAAATGTTTGCTTAAGTAATTGTGAAACTTTATAACTGATCTAATCAATAATTTTAACCTATCAAAAATGTTAAAGGATACAATACCAGAATCGCTAAATATTAACAGTATCAGTTTTTAAACTTGGGTGAAACTTGATCTATAAATTGCCGTCCAATATTAAATGATTATGCCTTTGAAATATCAAAACAATAAATTCGATTTATTAAATTGCGCTTGTTTAATACTTTTTTCGAAATTTATGCAGTGCGATACTAACTACTATAGCCAGTTTTAGAATTATTGGCCGGTCAGTTTTAGCTGCTCAAATTTATATGATGTAAGCGTCAATAAGTCAGCCGTCAGGTTATCTAGATCTTGCCCTTCTATTTATAGTCAAATACCCTTCTCGATTTTGCTTGAAGATATATTAAAATGTACGATTGAACTTGCTGTAAGTAGTAATTCTTCTACTCCAATTATAACACAAGATTCAAGATACTCCCGGTTACGTTGTATTCTTATATACTCGTATTGGATTGCTAATTGCAATAATTCAAATCTTAGACTCATCTCAGATATTGATAGCGATAAAACTTCTTGCATTTTCTTCATTTGAGATTCACTCCAGTAGCAATGTTTAAATATCTCAAGTGATGAGGAAACCGGTATTTCATTAATCAGAAAATAGTCTAACTATAAAGGAGAGACAATACTGAATGGTCATTTTGATTGTTATGATATCTATTGCTAGTAGCATGTGTGTTGTTGACTTTCAGCTAAAGTAAGATAATTTTGGATACTAACATAATGTAATCAAGCATTTGTTACTCACTTTAGGTCCTTCAAGTTATATAACAGTAATGCTGTATGCAATAATTTCGTCAGATGGAACTTTTATGTCTATTGCTATTGATGTTTAAGTAGTATAGGAACCAAGATATTAAAACTACAAGGTAAAAAATTTACCGAAAATTAGAATAATCATACGTCCTCGAGCATATCTTGTCCATCATTTACTAATTTTTGGATTGATTGACATTGAGTTACACATCTTAGTAAAAGCATGATTTGACTTCATTTATGAATCGTGTACACTAAAATGTAACGTAGTATAGAAGTACAGCATAATTGCTGTTAGATCGTAAATTATAAACTTGTGTAAAGACAATTAAATAGCATAATCTATGTATACGCTATAGACGATAACAATAAAAAATTTCTAAATTTATACAAATAATCTCTTTTTGAGTCTTATATTAAAAGGCTATAAGTAGGGATCCAAATAGGTATCAGTCTTGCATTATTTACATAGAATGGTGATAATGTAATTGGTGTGAAAGGCAAAGATTTTTTCTAATGACAAATTAATATATCATCTCGTTGTCTTTCTAAACTTTCCACTTTAATTACTTGTATCGTGATAAGACAACTTTCATATAAAATAAAATTGAATATTGAGAACATGATTTTTTATCGGATCTATTTTATACATATGCAGTTTAATTATCTTTATCTTTATAAAGTTAAATCATATTTTCATCAAAAGAAATTTATATATTGATTATGGGAGGTTTTTCAAAAGATATTTGTAGCACGACTGTTTATGTTAATCATCTTCAAACTGACTTTCTTGAAAACTATCAATTGCAGTCTTCATGTGTTCCGCATCATCCGATAGTAACTTCGCGGATTCCAATGACTCATAACCTGGTGTAACATTTAAAATTTACAGTGTTAAGTCCTACATTTATTGTATCAACATTACATATATGAATGAATGATGATATTTTTTACGTTCATTCATGAACATACATGAATTCCCATCAGTAACTTCCAAAATCTGTTCACTGCTGTTGACATCAGGTAGTCCTAGTTTACGAGGACTAGATTCAGTTACGAAACCGTTGCCTATAAAATCGCTATTTTGACGAAATGAGAAACTGTCATCAATAACGTCTTCTACATGTCTATCTGACAGACAGGTCACGTTATCCTCCGTTGGATTATTGCAACTATTTGTGGCACGGTTGAAATTGTCATTGGATAATTTAGAATCTCTATTTTCGAGAGTGTTAACGGAAGAATCGTTGTCGATTTGTGAACGGTCAGAAACAAACGATGTTGCTATTTCCTGCATTTCCACATTAGCAGAAATTACGGAAATAAGAGAAGCATCACTAGTCTTTTTCTTTGCACCATCATCTATGTTTCGCGAAGAAGAAAGTTCACTAACAGCCAAAGGAACTTCCAAAGTTATTTGACATAAAGAAGCTTCATCTGTTACATCCGATAAGGGAGAAATTGTTTCATCTTTCAATACATATTCATCATTAATGCACTTGACATAACCCGATTTGACAAGTTCATAATTAATATTAATATCCTATAATCAATATATGTCATAAAGATAATAAATTTAATTAGTTATTTCCATATATGGATAACGGAAGCGTCTCACAGTCATCACAATATAGTCCATATCAGTATTAAATACTAAACACCATGCTAATGCTAACCAGTGATTGACTTGTGTCGATAAGTTCGATTAAAGGTAGACTAGTAGATTCTTCTGGCTGACTTTGAAAGTCTATAACCGTTGCGTATAGCTCGATTAGGTCTGGGTTATCAACGTATTGACGAAAATATTTGGTAGCTTCTTCCGACCAGTATTTTCCATCGGTAGGTTCTATATTCGCCAAGGAACATCTAACAGCTTGAAATTGCAGCATTCGAAACTCTGCACTAAACATATCGTAGGACATATTAAATCAAACTATCAAGTTTAATGTCCGGTTGAATTGTTATCATAAAACATTGGCTTACCATAAAAATTTTAGCTTTGATTTGGGAACATCACCGATAGTATTCCCATAGTCTAATCGAAAAGCGTCTGCGGTATTTTCATCTATGATGTTTATAAGTTTGACACGATACCATTTGTTGATGTTATTATCATAGTAAGCACAAAAATCACCAACACGGATATCATCCATGTCGTTGCTTTTATCTGCACTATAAAATTTGGTCAAACGATCCTCTAAATTTTCAAAGTATACACGTTCTCTACTTAAAGGTTGAACCCAAAATTCTGACGGGGATTTAATAGCAGTTACATAAACCGGTTGAAATCCATCATTTTTGAATAGTTCCATAGTCACCGATACACCTTATAAAGGTCGAAGTAATGCAAATTTACTAATCTGTGCATAGATCTTTAAATTAATGGAGGTATCATTTAAAAATCCTGCAAAATTATCGTATGCTAGTAATTCCGTTATATTTGTATAACCTGGAGCTTTAGTTTCCCTTTCTATAAACATTGCATCAGCACAACGAGATTCCACGTATGATTTAGCCTGTAGTACTGAAACCAAAATTATAAAAAGTTATTCGATGAAGATAAATGAGGTAAAATAACAGCAAACTATAATCTATACTACTGTACTTAGCTGCAATTTTACATAGCTTTCTTATTGTATGTCACATTCGATTATGCTAATTCATTTAAATGAGGAACATTTCAACTATTTAAGTATCCAATTGGTGACCAACATACCATCATAGAGGTTACCAGTGATGACGCATAGACTATGTTCAGGACTGTATTGAAAATTAGGAGGTTCCAAAGCTATGCAAGCGCCAGTTTTCAATGTTAACCTTCTTAAGCAAGCTCCATGACGTCCCATAAATCGATCATACACTTCCATAGGAATTTTAACAATAGCAGTAAAGTCATCTATTCTACATTGTATAAATTCCGAAAGGGCAGATTCCGCAATTCGAACATTGTCTGAGCTGCCTTCAATGACGGCAATGTAATCTAATCCGTTATCCTACAAGTATAAAATTCGATATTTATTGTCCATGGCAGCGCGTGCGATAGATCGCAATTATTACTGAAATTATTTTCTACTGCATTCTATTTACATCACATGCATGACTGTAAATAATAAACCAAAAAATGATACTAGTGTATACCTAAAATAATGGAAACAGCAAGGTTGATACAAGATGTATACTACAGACATTGTGTAATACTATTTGTGACAGGCTTATAACAATTCAGGTTTATCATCTCAATATAGGTATTTCATCAGAATTTTTAAGTTTGTAATTTTAGATAATATCAAATACATTGTAGTATATATCAAGTTGCAAGAGGGACACAGGATAATTGTTTCAATTAAGGAAAGATACGTTCTGTAAATTAAATAATGAAAGTGCTGGCTATTTCAGAAAGCTTACCTGTAATTTTACGTTTATCTTTACGTTCGCTTTCTCTTCAATGGAACGTAAGTTAGTTTTATTCTTGCCATGCACTTCGTTTATTATATCTGTAAAAAATTAATTACCATGGGTTATAATACGAACAACAGGACAACAGTCTTAGTACCTACTACTGTCAGTATTATCTCTAGACCGACTAAAGTGTGTGCTCTACAGGAAATTGTTTTACTTTCTTAATTAATTGCACCTCTTGCTAAATATACTACCGTGGCGGTATTTGTGGACAGCGGACACGCAGATTTATGCGTATATTACAGTTATTACTTCAGTCATTCATTATAATTGCATTCTTATACAAGATCAACTCTGAGCAAGGAGTATTTTACTGTCGATCTTTCTAACAGTAATGAAATATATCAGCATCAATAAATTAATTATAAAACAAACTATACAGTATACTGTAAGCGTATATGCGTCTAATCACGGCTCTCTCTCTGTAACACGGTTAATAGGTAAAGTACCTATATATGAGTATGGATATTAAAATAACGGTCATTGATTGAGCTTGTTCACTTTCATAATGATACATTCTCTCCAGAGTCTCTCATCTGTACATTTATGAGGTAAATAAAGAAAAGCTTTTGCCTGTATGATCTGTACTGGATGATTCAGGGTATCGTACTAGTGCCAAAAATTGAGTGGGAATGTTGGCATCTTTTTACGAGTTCAATGCTGAGCATAAAAATGTACTGCATCGGCAAGCAAACTAACTCCGGAATGATAACACGTATTATATACCAAATTGAGGAAATTTTTATGCTTGCTGTACTTCCTGAGCTAATTCTATGGAACAGAAATAGGCTGATAAAGTATAGGAAACATTGCACTGTGGTAGAGTGTAAAAGCTACCATATTGTCATTAATACGAGGTTTACGCGAGTACACCTGAGCAATTTTAGCAACACCAAATTGAGAAAATTTCCATGTTTCCTGTACTTTATGAGCTCATTTTATACAAAAAGAAATAGCGGATAAAATGTACGTCATTACTGCTATTAATAAGAGCGTTATGGGAGTAAATATAGTTAGTACACTCATTAGCAACTAAATGTAAGATATACAGTAGTGAGTGTACACTACTAAGCCTCATTACTGAATTGCTGTACTGCCCATTGTGCATCTTATTGCTTCATAGTTTATGAAATGGGATAAATCTAGACAAGCAACGAGTATTTTTAGATCATTTACTGTACCTTCATTCCAATAGTTTCAGAAGATGAATCATTAGAACATTCATTGAGTACAGTATACTGTAATAATATACGCATACAAATACATCCATCACGCAAGCATGGCATAGTGCTTTAGATTACCCATAAAGTAGCTGCGCTACTTGCATAGCAGCTCCTGCGATTGCAAGATACTTGCACATCAAATGGAGAGTTGTATGTGAAACTAACGACTGTTGCTATTGAAATTTATTTGGATCATCATATCATCATCCAATTTCTATTGTACTTTGTGTAGTTAGCTATGGCTATTGGAGAATACGAATCTACTGTACGTATATACAGTATCGTTATGGATTGAGAATATAATTTTACTCTATGATGTTAAAGCTCACATGCTATCGAAGCGAGTTCAACCAAACCAATGTAAAATCTTATGTAATCCTGCTATGTAGTATTGCAATACAAACGCTAGCTTTGTGCAAAATATTTCATTACTTTACAGAAGTGTTTTACTTCATCTTTCGCACAATATTAACATGCGATGGGAGAGTTTTTGTTGACCATGCTTGGATTCAAACCTGCAGCGAGCACACACACTACAGTAGTGTAACATTTGTGGATACACAATCATTCATTAAGATCATTTCTCTAACCTTTTGGAATGGTTACTATGATAGTTATCATTTCTGTAAATTGCACAGAGTGATCATTCTTTTTATTTTTCCACCAAAGGAAAATAGCAAATAATGTCACTGCGGAGAGAGAATATCGGTTGACTAGCCTGCCATACCATGGATGTCCAGCCATTGCAAAAGAATTGAATAATTTTTTCTATTCTACTACTTTGAAACCCCAGTAGGAAACAGTTAATAATCCACGTGTCCAGTTAATTACTCTCCAATAGATTATCCCTTGTTCTTATTCAATTCAAGGTTACTCTAATCCCTTCAAGCGTTAATTTAAAGCGATTTCCTGCTGTATTTACTATACAATATTTGATCTTTCAACTGCTTTTGGCGGAATGCAAATGGTAGAAGGGAAGTCGGATTTTCTAACGTTACTGTCTTGTCTGCCGTCTAGTCCGTCCACAGTACGTGCCACTGTAAAGTACGGTACACTGTACTGTACTGTACTGTCTGAACTGTACATTGTACAGTACAAGGATTTCCATCCTGGTACCGGTATCACTAATCTAGACCGAGTTGGATTCGGTTCGGTTCGGTTCAATACCTTTATGATCTACTGTATATGACTAAACCTCGATCAAATTGCATTTCATCTAATGTTGGAGTTAGCAAAATGAGCAGTAGTACAGCAGGCACTGTGCTTATCCTTATTTTTGGGCATGATGATGGTGATAAGATACTACAATTCGAGCTAGCTAGCTAATAATTAAGTCATAGCAGTGATTCATCTCAGAAATTCAATCTATTCTCCATTCATATCATTCCTACAACATGATATCACAGAGGGAATTGGATAATGGATATGTTGATGAGGCGATTTCATGCAGTAGTTACAATCACTGGTGTAGTCAGACGGTATGCCTTCTTCATGCCTGTACTGCAAGTGTCAGCATCTATCAGCATGGAAATAAACGGCTTAAATTGAAACTGCAACTCTCACAGTGTGCTGATGTACTGTCAGGGACTACTCAAAATCGTAATTAGCTGCCTAGTAGTATCGTGTACGGTTTCATCGCTAACGTAGAGTAGAATGATGGAAAAAATGATCAACCTCCACATTATTTTGCACTGTGGTCGTTTCCTATCCCATCTCTTTTCTTTTGGAGTAGTCGCTGGTACTGTACAGTACTGACTTTTCGATTATGCCGTGGAAAAGAACGAGAGAATCACCGTTTTATATCCACATGGACTCTACTCAATACTGTACTTGCAGCAAACCTATTGAACAAGGGGGATGTCATGATGGCTACAATAACACGGTAATAATATTCTATTCTATTACACGTGATTTGCATAGGTAGATGTATATGAACAGTACATGGATACTCTGCATTCATCAATATTATCATGTAGAATAATGTCCGTCTTCTTACTGCCACACAGGACTCTTTTCCTTGATATCGATCTCATCTTCATCCTCTGCATCCTCTACCCTACGTGTCCTTCTCAGTTTATACAGTTACAGTATCACACCCTCTACAGTGTACAGTGTACAGTAGTATATCTTCTGATTATACAGCACAGTACTGTACTGTAGAGACCAGCGTTGTTGATAATGTTGAATGTTATGGCAAAATTTACTGTACATGTATTCAAAATGCAGACCAAAAAATCGAGCTTTGTTGAAATCTCTATGACTGTAATGGACTGTATAGTGTCTAATACTCTAAACTCCTTTTGCATGTGGAGCATGTCCATTTCCCGTCCATTCTGCAGATCTTCTCACCTTCATAAAATCTCATCCTCTACTGTACACTGTACAGTACACTACGTGTCATTCTCTGTTCGCACCATACAAGAGTTAACAAACTATAGCACAGTATAGTTATACAGTATCACACATGGTACTGTATGAACAGTACAGTGTACAGTGTACAGTACTGTGCCTTCTAATTGTACTGTGCTCTGTACTGTACAGTACTGTACTCTACAGTGTACAATGTACAGTATGGAGTGCCTTTCTACGGTATGTTGTACTGTACTGTACTGCACTGTACCATGGGCTGCATTTAAAATACTGACCAAAGTATCATAGCTTATTGAAATCTCTATGACTGTAATGGACTGTATGGTACTCGAAACTCCTTTTGCATCTAGAGCATGTCAGTTTCCGTCCCTCTGAGATCTTCTACTGATTGAAATCGTCAACCAAACCCACTAGAATTGATTAGGCGATCAAGACCATGGCTACCATGAACAGATTGCAGAGGTGTACAATTCTTGGAAGATCTTGGATATCAAATAAAAAGTTACTCGCTCTTAGCTATCATGACGAGAGTAGATCCAGTGTTATTCCATCAACTGTGGTTACCAATTCTAGTGAGTACAAGGTCAGTTTGCAAGGATATCGCTTTGTCTGATGAGAGCGAATTCATGGTTGTAGAGTATGTTGCCAATTATGCATTACTTCGTTTCAATGCAGATAGACTGCAGTAATTTGATCGACCACTCCCAAGAAAGGAGTGAAAGCTTCTAGCTTGCTTTACCACTTACAAGTTGCAATCTTATTCCTTACTTTAATTCCTATTAGTAGCCTTTCAATCTGGACCAATAGTTTGCTTTCATCAAATTACTTATACACGTACGCGTATACTTTGAGTGGACAGTAGAATCAGGATAGCGGGATGCAGTATTTGACGTGTACGACGTACACTATATCGTCCTCATCAAAGATTCTCTACTTTTGTAGAAGGTCTGTCGTTCTGTACAGCCAAAAACAAGACGAGCAATATACTACATTAACTGTAGTGAACTTAAAAATAATGCAGTAATTAACTTCTATTGCTTAATCTGCTATCTATCTTCAAATGAATCTGATATTAGGAAAACTACTCACAAATGAAATCTGTCGTTGATGACCTACGCCAAGTGGTGGACAATATTAAACTAGGTACAACAACTTTATACAACTGTTATAAATTGTCGTTTTGATATTCTTATTAGAGTATAAATATACAGTAGGAGTGATCACAACTGAATATTGTATAGTCTATGCATACGTCATCACTTTAGCTAGTGATTTCTATTCTAAATCCGCTGCCTCTTTAAAAGTCCCTATTGATGCATGGACGCGTAGATGCGTATTCAACAGCTAGCATTATTGTTATAATTGAGAAGAATGAATGAATTCTCTTAAACATCTAGCTACATGCATAAGATGCAATAGCCTTTGTACCATCAACAAAATATATTAGCGGCTAATCATTTTAGCAGTGCAGTAACTGTTGGCTTGCGGCTGCAAACCTGCTCGTAAAAGCAGAAAAAAGTGCGACACCAAATTACTGTACGATCCATTACTATTGCGCGTTCACACATCTGATAATACTATCGTTTAGAAACATTCAAAGTTTTACAAATATCCGTTGATATCGCCAAGCCCATAGTGCAAAAGTGTGCATTTGCAATACCCTCTAAGTTTATGCGTACTACGGTAGGAATACTTAGAAATCTTTATAGATACACACAAAAACTTGCTTGATTATACAGTATAGTCTATAGCTATTTTATAGGCACGAAAATCAATTTTATATTAGTATATTTAGGCATCAATTTGTTATTTAATTTATCTTAAGGTGGAGGAGAAAAGGCTAGGCAACGCCATCTGTCGAAGAATAAGCTACTGCCGCGCGATCGCTTAGATAAACTTATTGATCCTGGGTAAATCTCAATCCTTCACCATGCTAATTTTACAAAATTTCTATAGACGCTTTACTCATTAGCCATATTATACGTTGTTTTTCAATCGATGTTGGGATGGTATGATTTTCCATGAATAAGTTCGCCTTTCCTTGAGCTATCTCAACTCGCTGGACATAAATGCTACGGTAAAGAAGAAGTTCCAGCTGCTGGCATCGTCACAGGAATCGGCCGTGTCTCTGGGTATTATATTTATCTTATGAGTCATTTTACGTTAAAATGAATACAATAAATAATAATCTATTAATTTCTATTTCAGTTTGGCTCAATAAGTATTTACTTTCTGAAATTTTGAGTTAAAACACCTAAATAATGTATCATTACTAATATAGAACCGAATGCGTAATTGTTGTCAACGATCCAACTGTCAAAGGAGGTACCTACTATCCATTAACAGTTAAGAAGCACCTTCGAGCTCAAGAAATTGCTCACCAAAATCAATTACCATGCATTTATTTGGGTAAATTTATGGATCGATCGCTATCGTATAACTGTCACTACATTACATTTTACTTCGCACACCGAATGAAAGTTCGCTAACATAATGAGTTATGATTGTCTCAGGCTTTCTCTATTGCTCTATGGCCTGTATTTATTATTTTTCAATACCTTCATAGTTGATTCAGGTGGAGCAAATCTACCGCGCCAAGATGAAGTATTTCCTGATGTTGGCCATTTCGGAAGAATATTTTACAACCAAGCTAACATGTCTTCTGATAGAATACCACAGGTACTAAAGACGGCTTGTATCTAGGTGGACCTCAAATGTTCCCTTAAAGTTTAACGCAAAGTACTGAGTTATTAGCGTGCAGTATCTACTTTCAACAGTTTATGTCGATCAACTGATCGCACGCAACAATACTTTACAGTGTATTTAATTCGCATATCCTAATGTAACCTTATGAAACTTGACCATAGCTAAACATTTTTAAGCTTTACTATATCTCTGAACCTAAATCGATCTTAATTAATGAAAGATACAGAAAAAAATTCAATACCGTACGTGATCTGAATACATCCTATTCTTTACTAGATGAAATAATGACCTTGCAACTTGCTTACTGTTCGTTAAAGCTAGTGGGGATAATCTACGTACGCAATCTAAATGAGCAAACATCTCTTTATTAGTTGAATTATCTGTCATCAGGTCATGCAATCGATCATCGGTGTTAGGCCGGTGTACTATAGGTCCAATAGCTGCTAACACCTAGGTGATACCTATTTCGTCTATCTATGAAACTGATTACTATTTCATATAGTTTGATACATCGTAGTGTCGTATTCTTACTTATCCCCTCTAATAATACTTGATCTAACATTAAAATACATATCTGAAATTTGAAGGTCGCTGTAGTATTAGGTTCGTGTACTGCCGGTGGTGCTTATGTGCCTGCTATGTCTGACGAAGTAGTTATGGTTAAAAATCAAGGAACTATATTCCTGGGTGGACCTCCGTTGGTAATATTTTAGATAGCACCTTATCGATAAATTTTGTATATCATACTATCTTAAGATACAGTATAGCTAAATCTTTAATCACAATATTTAAATTGATACATTGTATAAATTCATTCATCTAGGTCAAAGCTGCCACTGGAGAAGTCGTTAGTGCTGAAGAACTCGGTGGAGCTGAAGTTCACTGCAGGTGAACATGCTACTGTATAGTATCAACGTTAATTAAAGTAAACTCCAACCCGGCATCATTCACTCATATACTTGTGCCTTTTAATAGCGTTTCTGGAGTGAGTGACCACATGGCAATGGACGACGAGCATGCGTTACATATTGCTCGTCAAATTATCTCTAATTTAAATTATAAAAAGGAAGTTCAAGTAAGTATCAGACGTTAAATGTGATTTCATTTATATCAACTCGTTTTAGATTCTTATCATAGCTTATCATTTCTGTAATTGCTTGAACATAATTCACTATGAGTTTTAAATCCATTAAGAGCGTTATGCAGCCCCCTGAAAAACCGGCCTATCCATCGGATGAAATTTACGGCATAGTAGGAACAAATCTGAAGAAAAGTTACGATGTTAGACAGGTATTAAGTTATAATGTTTACAACACGCAGAACTATGTAAGAAATAATCCATTGCTGAAAATGCGAATATATGATGTTAAACATATTGTACACCTTTCACAAATTATATATCTATGTTGTAATCCTTCAATTATGCCAATCATTTACAAACAATTGGATATTACATAAATTTAGGTTATTGCAAGAATAGTCGATGGTAGTAAATTTAACGAATTCAAAGCAAATTATGGCAAAACATTAGTTACAGGTTAGTTGATAAAATAAATAATAATTTACAGATAAATTAATTTTTGATTCAGTTACGGTTATAGTCATCATCCCACCTATAGAATAACTGAAACTGTTCTTCATATATCTTTAGGATTCGCACGTCTACATGGATACCCAGTTGGTATTATTGCCAATAATGGTATCCTATTTTCAGAATCGGCACTAAAGGTATTGACAAACACGAAATATCGATATCAGCAGTTTATGCATATCACATAATCTTCATTTTCATGGCATGATAGGCTACACATTTTATTGAATTATGCTGCCAGCGAGACATCCCTTTAATATTTCTTCAAAATATTACTGGTAGGCTATCGCATTTATAATTATATCTTGCTTACTGTAGTTGAAACGGTGATAAATCAAAATCTAATCGCAGTATATACATACGTTTTGAACTTCTATTCACTATAGTGAAATGTGTTGTAACAGTCGTCTGATTTTTGTTAATATTTAGGATTTATGGTAGGGAAAGAGTATGAAGCAGGTGGTATTGCAAAGAATGGCGCTAAAATGGTTACCGCTGTCGCTTGTGCCAAAGTACCAAAATTTACTGTTATTATTGGTGGTAGTTATGGAGCCGGTAATTACGGCATGTGTGGTAGAGCCTACAGGTAACCATACTCTACAAGTCTAGTTCTGAACATGATTTCATAAAAGCGAAAGATTAAACAATAGGACCTATAAGAGCCGAATACGAAATGTAATACTGAATTTTAAAATAATACCATTTATGCGCTTCTTCAGTCCGAGGTTTTTATTCACATGGCCAAATACGAGAATATCTGTAATGGGAGGAGAACAAGCTGCAAACGTTCTGGCTACTGTCGCAGCGGATCAGAGAAAACGTGAAAATAAACAGGTAACAAAGCCAAATCCTTTAGCCTCGACATATTGTATGTGTCAAATATTTATTGCATTTACAGCATTAGAATATTCTAATACAAGCTTACTTTACGTCGATGTAGTGGACAGAAGAAGAAGATAAAGCTTTAAAAGAGCCAATTATTAAAAAGTATGAGAAAGAAGGACATCCATACTATTCATCTGCAAGGTACTTCTAACTAATATTACCGTTTAATAAGAATGATTTAGTGGACTAACATATTGCATACTGTACATCGTGGAGCAAACAAATGTTCAACTATATGTTAGTTCAGGCCATAGTGTTATTATTTATTGAAAACATTCCTATTTCAGGTTATGGGACGATGGAGTTATCGATCCATCCGATACAAGAACTGTTTTAGGATTATGCCTAAGTTCAACTTACAACACGTCCCCGCAGAAAACTAAATTTGGCGTATTTCGAATGTAAATTAGGACATACAATAGACGAAATTACGATTATAATTTTCGTTAAATTGAAATTCACAAGCTATATTTTGGACATTTAATATAGAATGGATTAATATGCAGTATGATCATAGTTAACATAAAGATGTTTCTTGGTTAGAGTTTCACTTTGTGTTATTTACATGGAAAAATTTTTAAAAACATACTGAAAAATTTTGATGGCCAGTACGATTTCATGCAATAGAGATATGTACTGCAATTACTGTCGCTTATTGCAACTACAGTTTTGCTAACTGCATTTAAGATACTAAAAATAAAATTGTTTATCAGTTTTATTAAATATTTTGCTGTTGATATCGGTTACAGTAATAAGTAGTAGCGCCAATTATACCCTTCTACTTCCAAACAGCTGAACGTAGTCTTTCCAATAGATTAAATCAAAGCGTAATTTGTCTACTTTAAATTAAATTCCTTTTTGAATTCCTCATAATCTATCTATAGACGCTACTCTTACTAACCAATCACTCCTTCGTAGTTAATTGTATTATTTACGCGGTTAGAAATTTTAATATGGATCGATTTGCAGATCAAAGGTATTGCATTGCAATGTAACTTCATTGAGAACAAGTTTATTACAAATTTTCGAAATCTTTTAAAAGACATAAAAAGCAACCGATTCGGAAATTGCTAATATACAAGAAGCTTTACACTTTTCAACGGTTAACTGACAGAAAATTCTTACTTTTAATAATTAACAAATTATTTATAATCTGTTTATCATTCCGAATATCACATTCAGGCAATCTTAAAATCTCACATATTTGATTAATAGAAATACCTACTTTAATGTAGTCCAACTGATATATGACACGTTTACTTTAACAAATTAAATTAAAGTCAGCGTATATTTATTCTTTTTACCGTGAGCGTTGTAGTTATTAATTCGAACCCACCTTACCATGAAAATGATCATTCCAACGACTACTATACATACAATTGCAATTGCAAAACCTTTGTTTGGTTCTTGAGATGTTACAACAAAATCGTTAAGAAAAATTGCCTGAGCATAATTTGAAACCGATGAATAGCTGTATACATCATCATAACTACGTATAGCAAACACATACGGTTTATTTAAAGCAATCTGCTCAAATTTAATTATTATTCTTTCGACACTGCCGGCTGATTTGGGTAAATCTAATCTAGCGCCATTGACTATAGATAATAAACTACTATTAATTAGACTTCCTTGATTAAAATCCGCGGTAAATGACGTGAAGTTATTGCTCATTCTCAATTCATAACCTTGAGCTATATCAACAAAAACAAACTCATCATTTCTATGGGAAAATCTGTAAGCGTATATGTATTAACAAAATGTAAGAAATAAGTGGTATCTCAATGCATAAAATTTGCTGTAGCAATATCAATCCAGCGCGATAGTTATTGTAAACTTACTACAATTCCTGTTGATCTACTAATAGATTTCGATTACAAAGCTGTCAATATCAAAATTCAGCCTACCTGTGCCGGTATCCATATCACTACCAGGCGCGGTCCATTGCAGCGCAATTGTAGCATTACGATAGTTAACTTGTAGGACAGTAAGATCATGAATGCGACACGGAGGGTAGTTATCGATAGCTATAAAAAAAATTTGAATACAACCAAATATATTATTTCCCCTCATAATGATGACTATTGATAATTTTATTGTTGAAGACCAACGTTGTATGTACCAAAATAACAATAGTAATGGATACATTATTTCATAAGTTCTAATTAAGACTTTAATTTTAGCGTTACAATATAGGAAATTAGCAAATTTGACCAGGTAAGATGGTATGTATGAAACACTAAGGATAATAATATTAGAATGAATTAATGTATTATGTCTAAATTACTGTTACGAAATTTTTAGACCTAACAAAAATTTACCTACAAGAATCTTGCATTAGTGAAATATTTCTGTAATTATTAAAATTAAAATTAACAGCGCCCTGCGCCCTGTAGCTATGGTTACCACTTTATTACAATTTACTATGTAGTAGACCAATTTTAAGTTTTACAGCATAAAACTTAATCGGTCTTCTGTGTAGTCGTTGCCTCGTTGGCATCAATTTTTAAACGAGTATAATCAGTACTTATTTATAGCAATATTGCATACGGACATCAATAACTACAATATAATATTCCCGATATAAAGTGAAAGTAGATTTGCAACATTGTCCTCAAGCGTTACCTGCAGTATAGTTTATGACGTAAAAGCAATGGCCCGATCCCATCCTAGTAAAGCTTTTCAAGTATGTGATAGTTTTGTTGACTTTACCCACAACAGCAGAAGCAAAAGTAGTATCGCTGTTCGGCAATCCAACCATTTGGTGCGTATCTGTTTTTGTTAGATTAACAGTTCCTGTTACAGTAACCAACATACTATAGCGTCCATTGTTGGAATATTCCGTAAAGTAGGCCGAATAAATACCATCATCTTTAGTAATATCTGCACCTGTGATAATAAATTACAAGAGGTAAAATTAAACTTATAAACAAAAAAACAGTTACCCATGCAAAAATTCAACCGATCTTAACAAATGTCACAATAAAGTATCACCGTAATGCGGTAATGAAAGTTATCACTATAGATGACTCTTAAAATCGAATAAGTTGCCCACAAAAACTGTACTTATATAATTAAATGCATAAAAAATTTTAGAAAGCTGGACTTTCCAGAAGGTTTACGTTAATTTCCTTTGATAGAGTGCACTACCTGCTCCATCGTCTCGAAAGTTTATTCTACTTGGTACATTAGTAGATGGACGAGCTACTGTTCCAGAAACTTGGCATCCGACCACAGCTAAAAATCCTTTTCGCACTACTACCGACAAAACCGTCTAAATTTGAATTATATGTCGCATTACTGAGGCTGCGTTACACATATCATTTAAACTAAATCTTGAAATATTAAAGAATAGACTTGATACACATTTACGTATACAGTAAATGCTAACCGGTTGCGGAAATGATATCTGAGATCCATCCATCTTTAATTGCATGGTTAACGGATAATTATCTGCAATAAGAGATGCTCTAGATAGTAAAAAAACTGAAATTCTACGAGTAGGTGTTCCAACCGAATCAGGATTTGTAACCTCAAACTTCCAACTCCCAATCTAAAAGTATAAAAAAAAGGTATATTATAATACTAAACACCAAAATGGTATTTAATGACAGACACGTATATTAGTTACCAATGGAAATTAAGTCTAAATAATAACGATATCCGGTATTACGGTACGTTATTGACACATATTATTGTCACTATATGAGCTTACTTCTGTCTGGTTAGGGCCTAAATAAATCCTGACACGCTGATACACATTATCCACTGTGTACTCAGGTGAGAAAGGAGTGTACTCTTTGCCGGTTGGGGACGTCAATATAACCCGTACAGACCTTCCTTGATAAATAACCAAAAATTCGGTATAATTCCCAACGTCATTATCGATAATAACTTCCTGTTGCGAGCTAACACCACCACTTAAGAAGAATTCGTTACTATACAGCTAACGAAAAATACAAAAGTCGTCAGTGTTACACTTATTATCTTATGTCAACTTGGTATAACATTCATTCCATGGCAAACGTAGATTTAACCGCTGACGTCGTTAGTTCACTAACCTGAACGAGTCCATCCAGATTTGGTCCAATCAACAACAGATCGATAGCCAACAGGGTATCAACTAAAGCCTGGGGACTCCCATAAATTGCGTAGTAAGATTTACCTCGACTTATTGTAGCAACTGTTTCTAAGATCATAGGAGGAAGCTGACCAATAGAAATAGGTAAGACTGTAATTTTGTTGCTTCGAATTAATTGAAATGTCCGTTGATCAACTTGATTTCGATCTGCACTACCAGTTATAATAATTACCACACCACCGGATAGAGTAGAAGAGTTGGATGATTGGCGAAGCAGCTGCATAAATTTGCAACGGAAATTAATTTTTTAAAATTCTTTCTTAAAAAGTAATCAAGTATTACGATGCTATTGTGTTCTTTTAATGGCCCGAGTGATCACACAGTACCGTATTAAATAGGGTGGGTAATGTATAGTAACATTAATTAAGTAAATACTGTAACATTAAAACAGCTTGACGCAAATAGTCGTCGCTGCGATTCGGATTATAGAAAGAAACACAAACCTGCACTGAAGTCAGTAGACCAGCAGTCAAGTTGGCAGTGACAGTTGTTACAGCAGTCTCTGTCGGCAACAAATTAATTAATTGCTGCCGATCATTAGTATTTTTGATTGATACTAATCTCGATTTTATATGAGCTGATGAGTCGATGGTAACAAGGCCTAAATCATTGATGAAACACAAAATGAATTCAACACAAAGCTCGAGCCAAATCGATTGATAATCGAAAGTACCTGTAAGCATGAATCTTTAAATACTATACAATGTTATTTATACTGTACAGCAATCTAAAATTGTACCATTACATAATAATTGTGTATAATTATCTGATCGAAAATACAACTGTATCCATCTCGTTATCACCATAAAATCTTAGTAAAATATCAGAAATAAAGTACTTGGATATACATTATAGTATACATCTACCAAAACATCTTGACCATTTCACGTTTGACTACCTACCAATTGATTGTCCATCTCTGATGATGTATTGAAGGAAGAAAGCAATGGATTGCCTAATTTGTGTTAAAGCTTCCCCTCTCATACTATTGGAAATATCTATAGCAATGACTATTTTTGGGTAAGCTTGCCGAACAACTGTAAATATTGGGGTGACGTCGGTTAAATTACGTGGTAAATTATTTCCTTTAGCGAAATCATTTGAGCTACTTATAACATCCCAAACGCTCCTGAAACGGCAGAAATTATTTTGTCGATTTATTGCTTGACGATTATGTAAAGTTTGTGGATTACTTTTGTTGTCATCACAAAATTCAGATATCTACAAAGATAAAATTAGGGTTATATATGTACATTTACCGAAATTGTTAATGATAATATCGCACTACGGTTCTGATCATTATAGAACATGACTTAGAGAGCATCAATAACTCATGTAGAATACTATAGCGTATAACAGCATATACTTAATAAATTGAACTACTCAGCACATTATCTTGATATGCAATACTAAGTTTAATTACACTATTGCCATCCTACTAAATTAGCTATTTGTTACCCCGTTCAGATGAGGATCAAGCATGATTGAAGCCGTTGCCATGGAAGGGTCATTAGCTGAAAATTTGCATTGATCGCTATATGGCAATTTGCATATTTGACGAGTAGCAATGTGACTGATGTTGCCTGTTAAAGACGCAGAGCAGCGAGTTGTTTGTAATTTTCCATAAGAGTCTATCAGATGAACCAAAATGAAAAAAATTGTTTATTCACATACACAGGAATGTAAAGCTTGTCCCGATCGATATGTTCCTTGTGAAATAGTATTGTAGCACTTGTAAACAACAATTTTGTCGAATTTGTTGTAACAAGTACGTATTTGATAGACGTAGAACTTATATCCAACCCTATGTACAGTTGTACTGTATATACATCAAATCATTTTCTACTTACCAAGGTAAACTAAATCTTGACTACGCATAGCGTATTCTTCAAAAACGCCATATTGATACTGAGCCCATAATTGCACCATTTCACGCCCAGCTAGAGAACGATCTAACCATAATGGCGACATGGAAATTGAATGGCCAGCTACACTACAACCGCCAGTCCTCAAGACATAGGCAAATTCAATATCAAGCAATCGTCGATCAAAAGAATCAACTTGGATATCAGCATTCCAGTAATTATCTTGAACTGTAACCGATTGATCGGATGTCGTTGACCAGCTAGAAGGTAAAACGATGGTAATTTGGCGAAAATAAGCTCGGCGACGTGTGGCTGTATATAAATAGCCAGAAGCGACCGTCAATAATTGACGTATTTTATCGATTATGTTAGCATTGGATGTCTGTGTTATGCTCGGCGAAAGAGCCACTGTAATATCTTCGTAACCGTTATTGTTTATTGTAACAGCATGAACATAGGATAGCGTACTAATATAAGTATTGGACGATAGTAAAATGATTGCCACAACCACGAATAAAATCTTATAATCCATTGCGACTACAAGTGGAGATCGCAGTTTAGCTCATCAATAAAAGTGGCCCAATTTTCCTGGATGAAAAATTGGAATTGGATTTAGACTGACCTTGAAGATATTAATTTTTCCTCTATCGCTCTAGTGTCTGACATAGATAGTACGAAAGAATCAATCCATTAGTTAGGCATCCTATTTTAATGGAAGGAAAATAACGAGGATAATCTTTATTGAGGATAAACAGTTGAAAAACATCCAAATATTTTGATAGCGTAGACGACGCAGTAAGGTTGCCAGTCCCAGCCTACCAGTCCAGTATAGCGAACCAGCCAGCAATGGAACGGATGTCAATGCGCAGGACTGTCGCATATTGTACTGTAGTACTGTAGGCTGCGTATTACTATTTTCCTTACTTTCCATATTAGTCATTACCAATATGGTGCCAAGTGTTTTGTTCACTTACAATACTGTCCACTGTACATCGTGGACTGCCACTGTAGATACTGGGGTAAATCCATCATGGCGATCACCTCGAAAACTCTGGAGTTTTACTAGTCCCACTATGGAATATTGTGCCGGCGTTGTCCTTTGATCTAATAAATTGATTCTACAATGGCGCAGCTAGTAGTCGATGCTACAGAGCTCTTCAAGTTCTGATAATTTACTGATGCACACTCCTATCATGTTCTCACTATCGATAAAAGAAAAACCTTTAACCCTGTTGTACTTAGTACAGCCATTACTAAATTGGAAAACTATAGTGGTACGCAAAAATCTACTAGCGTATTTTGAAAGTTATAGTCTGCCCCCCTATCGATCGATCTTAGATGGAAGGTGTATACTGTCGAATGATAGTTATGGATTACTAGATGATGGGACTGTACTGTGCATACATCTACAGTTTTATACAAGCCCATGAACATTGGAAGAGTAGATACAAATTTGAAATTGATATTTGCAATATTTGCTGGATAAACTTACTAAACTGTTCTATAAACATACCGTGAATTGCACAGTATGCAATAAACATTGGTACTATACGAGTATACAGTATGCTCGTATACCGTAGTTGCATCAAGGTTCAGGAACTATTAAAGAGAGAAAACCTTTTCTCTCTTGCAGTTGTCCCGGATTGTATGCCAATGACTAAAATCGATTACATTAAAATGACCAAAGACTGCTAACTGTTAATTAATACCCTACAGTAAGCTCTGACACTCTAAGCTACGGGATGAAACCAAAGGGCGACTTTGTCTTGCATTTTACTAGATACGAGTTATTGAATGTACTTTACTATGTTAAAACTCTCACGCATAAAGATCAACTTTCTATGAGTCAAACTACAAACACTTGATAAAAGCTCTTTCGTAAAATTAAAAGCGACTCCAACATGACAATAATTATATGCCGCTATAAAGTTTGAGAAATGGAGAAGCTTGTGCTATCGTATAGGATATGACCTTGTTGCATAGAAATTTACCAAATAACCACAGGATAACATACACGCGTGTAGAATAATATCAATCCAATCTTACTCAAAGCCACATAAGAGTGTACGTAAATATTAATTATCAACTAGTCGTTGATTAACAATAATACTGGAATACACATTTAGTAATAGAGAATGAATATTTTAGTTATAAAAGGATGCGGTGGGGGTTTAAAACCAAGAAAAAAAACTTTTTTATTGACAGTTTTTAGGCGCACATAGTCTAGAAAATTGGATATTGCCACTGAGTAATTACGATACTTTAGATTCCATGGAAACGCAGTCTATCACATCCAACACACAGTATAATGATGATACTGTACAAATACCTTTCAGTAATTATCGAATCATACACTTTAATATAACGGCTACATGTATATATAGCATTGCGATCCTTCTGAAAGAAGTGATAACCGATCGCATATAATAGTCCTGTAAACTATATACACGCTATGCTGTGGATTCCGAAATATCAAAGTAACACATACTATATTTAGACATATTATTAATTCCCAACAAAGATTGAGTACCAGTAACTAAATTTAAAAGATTTATCTTTGCCAGTTAAATACTAACCGTAAATTTAGTCATTAAAATATCAAATTTAGCAAATCAATTCAATGCACAATTAGCCGTACTGCAATACCTTTGTTTTTTTCAACTTAGCTACCTTAACCGTATTATATGCTCTTAGTGTAGACTCTTATCGCATTACACCATAAATATATTTACCATAAATTGATCATTTTCAACCTGCTCAAATGGATTAATTAGACGCTTACTAGTTTAAATCTTTACATTACATAACGTTCAAAATGCATACTTGTAATAACTGTTATCCTATCATCTAGTATCATACGCGATAACAAGTATACTATCACGCCTTTCTATTAAAGATATATCCAAAATCAAGAAGGTACAATTTTGTTCAACCTTGTAATGTAGACAGTATTCATTCCTTTCTTGCAAAAACTTGGAACGATATCATACAGTGAAGGAACTTATACATCGCGAGTAAAATTAAATAAGAATCGTATCTTTCCAAGCCTTTGCAACCATTAATAATTATCGATTGTAAAGAAATTTTCTACGTTTATACCTTCATTCATTACCGACATTGAACGTCTTCCGGAAAAGTATAAAGTAGGATATTCCCTGCAAAGGTGAAATAAAATAGACAATGCATATATTATCTTTGTAAACAGATTACCACAGTAATTAAATAATGTAATGCATTTATGATCTAAACTATCGGAAAATAACGTATATCTATTTTATACTTATATACAGATAATCATTAATCTTGATTCTGATATCATAAGAGATAATGTGATCTTGCGATAGATATTCTCAAACTTATATTTTACTACTGCACACTTACGTACTGTTACCATTTCCATCTAGTTTTCGAAACATCGGTTGAAATGTCGTACCCTTATGTTTTCCATCTCTGCCATGCCGACGTTTAACACTTAACTTGGATCGCAGCTCATGTAAAACTTTGCCAATAGGCAAGCTTCCACGTCTTAATTGACTAACTTTTGTCTCAACATCCTTAGATCCACCAGTTAATGTTCGATTTCGACCATTTATTTCGCTCTTTTCCTCAATATCTTTAGGATCAAAACTGGATGATTGGCCGCATTCGTGAGTTGAACACGATGAAGACTTACTTTTGTCGTTAATATCTTCTGCATCATTACATAAATCAGTGCTAAATATCATTAGAAATCGAGATATCAATTTACTGCACCCCAATATTGATATTTAGAAGGATGGAAACATGTTAGATTGATCGTTATCATTAAGATTTGCACATCCGTTTAATTTTAACACTAAATTTTATTTATGACTAACTAAAGTATAGAACTTTCAATAGGCATACTACATAATTTAAAGGAATATCAAGTTACTATTATCATCAATCTTTTTCCTTACTTTTCAGTCATCAATTCGTTAATGTCTTTCAATTCTAACTGAGTATCACTACAACATAATATAAATATGTAAGTACTAATTTCAATAAAATGATAGCTAATCTCTATAATTGTTATTAAAGCGAACGAAGAAAGTACTTAGTAATCATTCGGTAAAAGAATATAAGCATGATCATCTATGTATTTGTATTACAATCTCAATTAAGAGAGAGGTAGAACGGATTAAATACCTATCATTTTCCTCAATTTGTTCAATTCGAAAGCCTTCCTGATCTTCTTTCATTGATTCCATATTACCCTTACTATCTATTGATTGCTTTCTGCTATTAGATTCATACTGATATACTTCTGCTGTTGTTTCTGGATTGTCTTCTTCATCCATTTCAGGTATAGATGATACTCTCCTTTTTTATATATGTAATATAATATTTAGACTTGTAATTAGCTATTTCAGTTCATCCAGTTTTTTTAATGAACGATATATTTAGCTTCAAAAAATAAAAATTAATAGAAGTACTATTATTACTACGATAGCATTTCTGATATCCATAAGATTATCATTATTTGTAAAAATTACATTCATAACATTGCTATCTGTGTCACATCTGTATCATAAAAATTCTATACTGTAACATAATCGATGATATGATGAATGATGTATTTCGTTTATTAACCTCATATCTGATCATGGCAGCCAATATAAACACGTAGAGAACAGATTAATATAGCATCAAGCAGTTTCTTAACGTTGCTTGCTGAAACGTTTATACTACACTATATCTATCTGATTGCCATTAATACTTTAATATAATAGTGGTTGTGTGTCGCAGACTTCATTATCATCGATAGCCTAAGTTAATCCTGTATCAAGAGTATCTTATATGCAGCCTTCTCAAGAGTCTATAAACCATGAAATTCGTAATACGTATCTGATAGCATTGTACGTATAACGGTATCCGTAACTAGATCTATAATTGCATGTTATCTCACAATTTAAAATTAAAACTAACTTTATATCTTAAAACTTAAGTACTAATAAAAAAGAATCTTGTATTATACCATTTGATATTACAATTATTACAATTTAAGCTAAATCTATGACGTAAAACTTATCCGTGATTTAATTATGGACTACCATTATAAAATCGGTTAAAAAGTTTTATGTCGTAAATTAATTACGGCTAATTGTGTTTCATTTTATAAATTATGTTAAAATCTATTCTTACTAGAACATACCTACTGCATCCATTTAATACAATCTCAGTCGGTACAGAGAGATCGCCATCTTGTAAATCTTCAAATGCTGCTTTTCGCCGTAACGATGACGGCTGATGCTGGCGCTCTTGCTGCTGTCTCTTTTCTTCTTCTTTTCCTTTTTCTTTCTCTTCTTCTTTCTCTTCTTCTTTCTCTTCTTCTTCTTTATCATTATTAATATTATTACTATCTTCTTCATCTTCTTCTTCTTTCCTAAATCCGCAATAAGCGAAGATACCATGTAACAACTAATTACTGCTACGAGCTGATGTATGATTCATAATTTCGATTTATATTAATATTTTTTTTAATTATTACTACATTACAGAAAAATCTCGTCGACAGATAATGATGAAAACTGTGTGAGAGTGTGCGTATCCTTAGTTACCTAATAGCAATTCCGTTACCAATTTTTTCTATTGATGCCGTCTCTAAATCGTGTATTTTTTTACCACTTTTTCTAAAAGCGGGAAAGTGTATTAACACGTATGTACGTATAATAACTCTATGTACTAATCACATTTAAGACACTAAATTGAGAAGAATGACTTTTGAGTAACTTGTAACGCAAGTCATATCAATTTATGTTTATCTTCTATTTGCTGTAGTAAGAGAAATTATTTTAAATTAAGCTCAGTTTACTTTATTCTCCATGTTCGAAGCCATTTCGCCATTAGAAACATAATTATCAGAAAGAAGAAAATATAAGATGCTATCATAACTATCAGCCAACTGGGAAGAGTTGGCGGTGATGGTCTAGGATCCCCAACATTTTGGGCAACAAATGAATATTTGATCTTGGCTTCTTGTTGTAGGACTGTTGCTTTATTATTAATTACATCAATCTATATTAATAAGGAAGTATACAATGAAATCATAACAAATTATTATTAGATACTAATAATTAACAAGTCAATAACTATCATTTCAACTACATGAATACATCTAAACTAATTCTATTAAATAACAAAGAGAAACTATGACAACAGATACATTATGAGTACGAAGCAGTATCCGCACAGATGTAGAATATAAACTTACAAGAACATCTTTATATAGGAATACCCTATAGCTACTATTTGATATTGCAGTCTGTTCCAGATATAGCAGCACTATCACATCATTCACGCTATCATTAGTGCTTTGATATAGTGTTGTGATGTTGATATCTCTATCTCGAAATTGATAAGCACGAGTTGAAGATGAAGAGCTGAAAATAAAAATTTATGGCAAAATAAAAAAATTTAAAATAAGTTGAACCATATAATATTATTATTCATTATGTGATATCTTCCTACATATTAGATATCAACTATATCGGCTTTAGGTAAAAGTTTGAATTATGCGTAATTAATAAGTGATATTGTTAATAATATTGCTAATGTTATGCGTTCAGAGAAATGAGGCAACGAAGCATATTGTCAACTACAGTACACTAGAATTAATATGTTAATACCTTCTGTGTTGGTAATATACAAGTTACGAGTTATTAACACTATTTTCGCAAGTTTTAAAATCATGTACGAAGAAATAATCTGTCTACTGAAAATGCAATGAATTACTTTCATTATGCTGTTGTAAACTGAAATAATAACTTTTAAAAGTTTATAATCTTATGTATTCTCGTGTATACTAATTTTGTTGTCAAATTCAAGTCTCAGCAATGACTATTTTTAAAATAGAACAATAAAATTGAACAATGATGTCTCTTTGCACTATAAATCAAGTAGCATATTTTCTTAATTGAAGTAAATTTGATAGCGGTCTAAAATGTAGTTTTTAATATTAATGATCCCTTAATCATATTAAATCATTTTACTCGAGCACTGGCAATTAATCATCATTGAATATGTCTTAAAACAAAGTTATCTAGATACGTAATAGTCAAGAACAAGTATCTGAACTCTATAGAAAAAATTAAATTAACCAAAGCAAAGACCAAGATATGATTATCTAAGATTGAAGTAATCGTTTTCATCCGTTAATTTATCATGATCGTAAAGTTTTCTAATATAAAGTACCGAATTATTAATAGGACAACTTATAAGATAGCTTAGTTACTAAATTTAAGTTGGCTGCAATCTAATTCTTGTCTCAATCAATAAAGATTACTGTAGGTAATAATTCAATTTAAATACTATAAGCAGCACTCAGAAACTTTTCAATGTGTTTTATATGTATATACTTTCTGAACAGTATAATATAGCCCTGTCTTCAGGCAGATGATTAAAATTGATAAAAAAGACAAAAGCTACGCTAAGAAATTATTTAATCAGATATGATTCAGAATAAAGATCAAACCAGGTTTAATGACGACCATTGCCAAATATTTAAATTGTCAATTTAGATCTATTGAAATGCGATAACGTTGTAATATTTGAAGTACAGTATATAGAATATATACACAAAAAAATAAAGATTTTATATATTTCAGTTAATAACTAGATGACATTTGCCGATTTAAACATAAAGTAAAATTAACTTCCATAGTATAAACGTATTAGCAACCTAAAGGCGCTAATAAGAGAAGTTCTAGAAGTTGAATTTAGGATAATTCTTATTCGAATTTAATAGGTTATATCGTTTTAGTTCTAGTAGTCGATAATAGTGAAAGTAACGTGCGGTAAGTAAATGACATTGGTAAAAGTTTGATCCTATCATATTTTTACTGCATCAGTAGCGTTTAGAGTATATCACTTAATTGAAAATAAATCGTGAGCACCTTTCGATATTCTAAACGTTAGCAATGGTATATAGCTCATTCATAGCGAGTAATCTCTGAGATTTTTAGAGTAAGATGTCTAAATACTAACCTTATTACTGTCAATGGCCGGCAAATTCTTTCTTTCTTATTAATACAGTTATTTAAACTTGCTTTTAAAGCCAACCTCCAATTATTTTCTAGAGACCAACTCCACTTTATATCGTGTTTGATCAATTAAATAGGGTATTAAAAATGTAAATCAGCACAATAAGCGATACTAATAATACGAGTGATCAATCAATATCATAAGCCACCGGCTCTTCAAAATTTCAGTATTGTTATGATTATGACCACATATAACTGATGAAACAAATAATACAATTACTACCGTAATAAGAAGTTGTCCTACAGTTTAAAGCACTTAGAGTTATGTTCATAAATAACTAAGAGTTTTGCAACAGTTTTTGGACTTGCATAAAACATATTCTTACGTGATTAATGTCCATATCGTAAAATCGTAATTGTACGATGGCATCGTTATTAATTTCTATCACATTCCTACCTACAAATAATAAAAATTATTTTTTGTTTTGCCTTAATTACTGTACCAATAAACAAAGTGCAATAATTGCTTTAAATGGCATGGTATAAGATTTAAAAACTATAGTACTCGTTTTCACATTCAATAAAGTATAGAAAATGAACAAACAAACTGCGGTCTGTTAATTTCCCTGATAACAAATCATATTTCCACCAAGACACTTACATTTTCCATTAATAGACGGAGGACAACTGGCCATTGTGTAACCAGATATTACCCATATTATAATGCTAAGTAGATGAATTAATCGCAACTTTATGTCTCCGGAAATCATTTTTTATAAGATGTAAAAATTAAACTTGAAAATATTTCCCTAAACGAGCGATACTATCAAATATTAAGAGCCACGGTAGCTTCAGTAAATTAAAGGATTCTATTCGGAAGAAGTAAAAATAACGGCGTTTATTAATATCCAGAGACCTGAATTCATCACAATGACAACAGACTTCTTTATTTCTGCTCACAAACGTTCTTTTACCATATTGCATATGCATTTCTTTTAAAATTGTTAACATAAAAGTAATTACTGAAGTTACCGATACACCTTTCTTCCAAAAATTAAACTTAAAAAATATTAAACATATTACTCAAATGCGTAATTTTAACTTGTGAGCTATTAGAGAATTATTTTCTCCGATGAGATAGATAATTAATACTTTACTCACGACATGTCATTGACTTTTTAATACTGCAATAAATATAATTCAACCGAAAATTAGGAGTAGATAAAGCGAAAAATACAATAGTCCTCTCATTTTTTCTCTGAATTCAGGTATACTCTAGATTTATTAAAAATAAATTACTTGCAGCTAATATCAAGTTACTGAATGTACACAAGTTCTACTTCAACGACAAATAAACTAGTCAGCGATGCAAAATTTTTCACTCTGCTATGCTTTGATATTAAAACTGCGAACTACTCCTTTAAATAGGCAAGGGCTTAACTATTATACTGCTTAGTTATACGCATATATGCGTAGTACTAAATACTTATATTCTAAAAATCTTTTCGTTTTAGAAGTCCATTCAATATGGATTTAATAAGAAAATCTACATATACAGCTGAGCTTTGCGCACTTTTAGGATCACCACGGAAATATATTAGTATCTTAATTAACATTAAGGGACATTGATATCTAACTAAAATTACAAATTAGTCCTAAGTAATTTTAAATTTATCGACAACAAAAGAGATCCTGTGATAAGCTGGGTCTTAAATTTTATAATTACATCGTATCGCAC